GGGGTCGATAACTAGGAGATTTATTTGTCTGTACTGGCCCTATTTAACAAACTTTGGTTCCATGCCATATACGACCCCATCTGCATGCACTTGGACAGTGCATGAGATAGCTTACTCATCCGCACGAGCAATCAGCCTACATGACGAATTTACATGAAACCTCCAAAATCATGGTACGGAGGACTGAGAATATCAAGTTGACGACAGTTTTGAGTCTGAGACCGAGTGACCACAATAGCTTAGTGATTCATAACCGTAGAATGAGTGAATTTAAAGGCAAAACAAAAAGCAAAACAAAAAACACAAAAGGGCCACATTTAGCAAAAAAAAACTCGGAATTCATGGGTTAACATGTCTCCATAGAGGTCACCCGGTCTTTTGGGCTTGAATGTGTCGTAGAATACGTGAAAACATATCTCTATATCAGATAGTGAATGCGATTTTAATCGCATCAATGGAGTCCCCTGCTGAACCGAAGTAAAACTGTCGAAAAGGTATTTTACCATTTAAGGGGTCGATAACTAGGAGATTTATTTGTCTGTACTGGCCCTATTTAACAAACTTTGGTTCCATGCCATATACGACCCCATCTGCATGCACTTGGACAGTGCATGAGATAGCTTACTCATCCGCACGAGCAATCAGCCTACATGACGAATTTACATGAAACCTCCAAAATCATGGTACGGAGGACTGAGAATATCAAGTTGACGACAGTTTTGAGTCTGAGACCGAGTGACCACAATAGCTTAGTGATTCATAACCGTAGAATGAGTGAATTTAAAGGCAAAACAAAAAGCAAAACAAAAAACACAAAAGGGCCACATTTAGCAAAAAAAAACTCGGAATTCATGGGGTTAACATGGAGGAAAAACGAGCATTTTTCTGTGGCAGGCCACTCAGCTATATCTTGTTAATTGGGAATTCATCGCACCAAGTGCAACATGCTTATTATGGTTCAGATGAACGCGTTTATTTACAAACTACAGGTACCCCGTTGTATCATAAACCATCTGACAAAACCTAAAGTCCTAGAGCAAGTCACATCCAAAAAGTTCGTTTCGACAATGGATGACTTTCGACTTGTATCCTATCCCACGAATAGTCTCTACTATATAAATATTCAAACATTTACTTGAAATATCAACTTGTCCGTTACGCCAAGCTTTTGAAAATATCAAGGAGATAAGGTCTCATTGTCAATGTGGAAACTCCGTCAACACAATCACTACACTCAGCTGCCAGCACTGTCTGTTACAAGGTTTACTAAAAATCTGCTGTGTGTGGAAGGACAAAATATTGAGGACCAAACACATTGCTGCAGTGTGGTGGAAAATTGTGCCTTGGAATCAAATGAATAATTTTCGAAAAAGATAACAGTTAACTCCGGAAACTGGCAATCTGACCTATAGTGTTGCTGCAAGTGCTTTGGGGACATCAGCGAGCAATTAACAAGCAATACTTTACAATTTAACGAACAATCGTAGTTGAAGACTTTATCAAGGGTTATTGGTACTTGCCTCCTGAGCCTCTACATATGCATATCCTTCCGTCTTCGTTGGAATTTAAACTGCATCTTGCATAAGAAGGACATGGGTAGAGTACACACCAGTCTTTCTTGAGACATAATGGCCCGCGTAATCCTGTGTAATACGACATGAATGTTTTAGATACAAAGCTGAATTGTAGTTGCTACAGTACACTGAATAATGAGTAATAAAATAAACTATTGGTGTAGAAATACCCGCACCGAATTATTGGTGGACGAAGTTTAAGAGACTGGAGTTTGCATGCAAGGTTCATTTTGGTTGAAAGTTGAGACAACATCACAACGTATATCCTAATTTTCATGATTAACCAAATAACTAATCAATAAATCAGGTTTTTTAGTAACGTTTAGGCTGCCGCGAGTGGACGTCATCATTTGACCAGAATGTGTCCTTTATGGGGGACCACGTGAATATGGGGAGAAATAACAGTTTGTTCATTAGAATCAGAGTGACTGAACAAATCTTAACCGCTTTCATGTAGAACCGACCAAAATTTTGGCCTCCATCGAACTCGAACTAAACTACCGGCGTCTGTCTAGATTGCCAACAGACAATCACATAACGGATTAACGAGAGTTGGTTAAACTATCAAACCACCGGTTAGAGGCCCGAAACGCCCGCTTATGAGACTGCTCATAAACAATTATCCGGAGTAGTAAGCGGTATGGATGTTGTTTTATCTCAGACCTACGTAAATGTGTACAGTAGTCCATCTCTATAGTGACAGCCCACTAGTAGAGAGCACCCTTTTGAGTGGGCTGTGCTTACGAAAATGGTACCGATATGCTTATGTTTTAGTTGTTTATGACTGTTCCTTGTGTCTCCATTATTCAACTGCATTAATTATTAATCACTCTTTTCTTGAATACGGTTTTATCCACGAAGTCACCAGTGAATTTGAAATTTGAGACTACTCAGAAAGTACATTGAGATCTAGTAATTATCAGCTGAGGCTTAAGCCCCAGATATCATTTCGCTCTGAGCTTCTTTGTACCACCTTCCTTCTCTTTTGCCTTTTGCTTTCCTTTGCCTTTTGCTTTTATTCCCGTCCCACCGATTTTGTAGTGAGATTGTGACAACCAGAAAGACGGTTTTTGCTTCTTCGCCGATCATGTAGACAAGTCAAATGTTGTCGATCTGAGATCACTGGAACCCATGAAAGTACACCATACTCATGGAGCCGCAGCTGGTGTTAAATTTCCGCTTTGGATTTGTCATTTGTAGGCACATGATCTTCATTAGGGAAGAAGATGGACAACCGAACACCTTGCAAGGTCATGCAATAAATTGGTGGCACCCTGTCGTTTGCACACAATCCTACCTGGGACCCACACGAATCTTGCTATTTTAGAGAGCATTGACAGGTAGATGTTAGTAGTTTTCAGTGATGCAAAAAATGCATGACTGAGAAAAAAGTACTTAAGGGCAAAACTTCTTAAGCTATCATGTTGGGATCATATCTCCTGATGAACCGAGCTGTTTGTAATCATTTCCGTTGTCTCACACTTCGTTACTTCGTCATCCCTTTAACTAACCCTCCGATAAAACATGTCATAAGTCATATCCACCTGATGGCAGACGTGATCAAAAAACGCGTTTGGTTAGTCTATGAGTTTTGGTTGTTCATGGGACCCGCTATTGCAGTATTGTCCAACACAAACAGGTTACTCCGCCGTGTAGCTTGTTTATGATCGCATTCATCAAATCAGGTATGTGGTTGTATGCTTCGTATGGATTTCGACTTGAATATTTATCTCACACAGTGCTGTCATAAATTCTGTTTACACGATGGTCTGAGGAAGTGGAGGAATAACGTGCTACTGCCCACCGTAGACATTGCACGAGTGAACAAGTCATAAAAGTGCTTTCGACGGTTGAGTGGAGCACTATTACCTTATGACGTTCGAACCCCACCGGATCCAAACCCTTACATTGCTTATTTTAAACTTTCTCTAGTTGGCAGCCGAACTTCCAAAAAATAAAACCTGGTTCAAACGATTGCGAAGTAAATATCCCAGGGAAATGGAAAAATGCTTCTTCTAGACAGGAATTGGGATTCTGTCAGAAGCCAATTTTTACAGACCCGATGAAATGGCTCACAAGCGGGGCAGGGAATAGAATGGAGCACTTGATTCCGGAAAAGGATAACCACTGGTCAGCCAACAATGACAAGCAGCCTAGATAATTTGATGAGAGATTCCTTGGATGTGGTATGTCACAACTAGGGAACCTTCTGAATTCCTCATGACATTATCAGTGGTTTTTTCTTAAAAAAAATACTAGGGAATAGCCCACCAAAACCAGATACATTTCTTCGAACTGCCGGGAGAGCTTATCACTAACAAGTAAAGTTAGAGAACTATCACAAATTAACCATATCGGCAGATCCTTTGTCCATCCGAATTGCATATGTAGTGCGATGTATTTGGCTTGCAATAGTTCTGACAATAGCTTCCGTAAAAGTGAGGCGCACAGGTGAGCTGAAGCGAAGCTGTTATCCTGGAGGAAATACGAAGAGAAAAGACCACCCGATTAGGCAGGTTGCAGTTGTTGCAAACATAGAAGGAATTTTAAGTTTTTCTTATTTTAACCTTGGACTCACACTGGGCAAGCAGAGCAAAACTCAGAATGGGAAGTGTGGTGCATTGTACATCCATTACGGCTTCTTTTTGGCAAAACACAATCAATTTGGAAGTTACTACAAGTAACTAGTTTCGTGAAGGGTGGGGCAGACACTACGATTGAGACTGATGTTTACCAGAAACAAACGAAGATGGCTTTTAGTAATAAATCTGACCCTCTGCGAAAGTTATAAACTAACCAAAACAGCTGAATACTGGAGAGATGCTAAATATCCTTTCACTTTTCTGGTCCCGAAGCACTATTTTATTGACGTATCTTGGCACGGCGTGCCACACATTGAGGGACCTACCACACTCAGCATCCTGATATCTAAATGAGGCTGAATGCACAACAGGTAGACGTTGACCTTCATTCCGGTCAAAACAGGTACTTCTCATGTATGAAGAGGGAGTGCTGTACAGACACTGGTCCATTCTTTTTTCCTACCGTTGATCTGGGATTTCAACACAAATATCAAGGCTCTTCGTCATTTTGAGCTATTTAGACGTTAGATGGGTGAAGTAAGTAAGGGTTTAGCTGCCGACCAGAATGAATGGACTAGCATCAAATGAAATCAGTAAAATCTTGCCTGGAACCCTTACAAGATAATCAAATAACGCATGAATGACTCAACACATACGGTTTCCTTCAAGAAAGTTTTTAAAATCCACTGCGACCTAAGTAAATTAGAGAAATACTCGGATATTCCCTCACAAACGCCATCTGTGAACCACAGCGCACTGTTTGGCCACGCCGTGACAGTTTAAAGGAAGTTGCCAATTGTTGCTCTGCTGATCAGCTTCCCGTCCACACAAAACCATCTACGTCAGTCAGAACAGTGGTGAACACAACATACCTAGTGCAGTCAGGAAGTTTATTGGGCCCGATTCGATTTATTTATGTTCCTACATGCCTGCGTCTCTGGTTAGTCCGCCTCCAACGCCAACGGATTGTTTGGATTGCTGAGCAACGTGAAATTTACCATTAAGGTAGCGTTTTCTGTCACTGCCTTACTGACAACGAAGGTGTTTTTAGCTACGATAAAGCAGCATGCAGCTTCCAAGTCCAGTACAACTCCAAATTTCATTTGTTATTCCGTCTTTCTGGTGCGACGAGTGTTCACAGTTTCACAAAACCTATAATTTGTGCGTTTCGTCTGTTTTCGTCATGTTACTGGCCTGGGAAAATCTTTTAGTGGAACTAATAAACCATGCGGGAATACACACTTCAGCAAATTTGGTGTCTTTGCTTGTGCTGGTATCCAGGAAAAATTTAGTCAGATTATGCGTGCCTTCGATTTACTAAGTCAGCTGTGAGACACATCACTGGAGTGCAGTTATCTCCATTTTGAGTGAACACAAGAGATCAAAAGTGATCTCTTCTAGGATGCTGGTTTTTGCGGGCTAGATTTGAGCGCTAAACTAGAAGAGTGTTTCTCAAGAGTTATCCTTCATGATATAGTCCTCTGCAAGGCGTGAGATCATCCAACAAAGGAAACATATCTGCCTCATTTCTTTGCATGAAAAATGCTTATACCATAGGTATTTTTGTATTATAACTGTATCCTTAGGTGTGATAATGTGTATCCTGCATTCCTCAACCCATTTGTTACTGTCAGCAACTCGGACAATAGAACAAATTTAAGAAAGCCAGAAATCTCCTGCTTCACAAAGCAAGTGAAAATTCCACTTCCCGAAACGTAATACTAATGATACTGTGAGTTTTTGTGAGCTTAACAAATGAAATGGGATGAGAAAACATGCCTTATGCCTCAGGGTGCATCCGACGGGGATAATCAAAACCACGGAAGAGCCAAGAATATGACTATAATACTATCGAACACTTTGAACACTCGAATTGAGTCTGATGTGCACAAACGTTTATCACATTGAGGCACCAGGAAAATAGACTGATTGATAACTGTGTCGTGAAATATATAACGTTTCAACATTTGGTGCGTGTTGGCGTACCTTTATAGTGTACCTCCTACTAGATGCATGAGAAATTCTGACGATTAGGTGAGAAAAACTGAACTGGCACTGAGTGGTGTACATTTAGCACTGACTCGCTGGGTAAGCAGAATGTGAGTATCGACAGTACAAATTCGCAGATATCAAGGCCAAACTCATCCATCCGATAACTTGGCTCCAATATCATTTGAGCCCTTCGAATTACCGTCTTAGTCCTAAATACTGTCTGGATGTGAGTAGTGATTGTTCAAATTCAGGATTTGGAATATTGCATGTTCTATTCGCTCTATTCGTTTACTTCGCCTAGTGCGTGGGTGAAACCGAAGTAAAAATCCAGCAAGTGCAGCACATACTTGAAGTGTCCTTAACCAAGAATGACTTACAAGTTATAACGAGGGTGTTATTTCACCTGGAGAATTGCCCTCCGTCATTTCAAGGGACAAGAAACAAGTCGTACACTTCCAAAGAATCTTGTAACTAATTGCATGTGACTAGTAGAGCGTAAACATACGTACCAACCCTCTCTGCACAATAGTGCTAAAATTTGCATCTAATCAACCTACTCAACATTTGGATTCCTTGACCCGTGTTGCGTTCTTTTTAACATCACCTTTGTCCGGTTGCCGTTTGCCCGAATGGTGAATCTGGGGGCTTCAAATGAGCCGATTGGACGAAACAGGTCGAGCTGCACCCTGCCAACGACCTTAATGCGGAGACCATATTCCTTCTAGAAGGGACAAAACAATGACGCTTATGGAATATCATCATAAGTGGTTTGGAAAAAATTACTTTTAGGCGAGCTGTACACATGCACCAGCACTAATTATGCACACACTGAATGATGGAAACCTTTTTGAATAGCTGATGGGGATTTTTCTTTTGGCAAAAATTCTGCTTCAATATGCAACTTATCTATAGATCAGTTCTGCGTCAACAGTGCGTTTGCCGTCTGGGTACAGTTTCTAGAGGGCAGTCAACGTGTATGGATGTTTAGGGATGTCAAAAGTGCTGCCAGAATTTTTAAGGGTTGGGGAAACGAATGTTGCTCAAAAGTTGTTTACTCGAACCTCAAGTGGAAAGAGTTCTGGAAGAATGATGTACCAACGTGTGTGTTTTTGTTGCTAGTTCTCATAGAAATCCTAGAGTTTTCCTCGGCAGCAGTAATAAAGACTGGGTCAGGTAGCCAGAGAAGTACATGCTACTCTGCACAAACTGGCATTGTAGTTGGTGCCAAGGCGAAACTCAGAAATAGAATGCTGCTTTCATAAGGTGACTATTCTACATTTCTCAGAGCATTTCTTGAATCTCGTGGGAACCCTGAATAGTAATACTGATGAACATCAAATGGTTTTCGGAAGGGATAACTCGCCCACGAGAGATGAACTGATCACACCTCGTAGGTTGCGCTGGCTTGTTCACGTGCTCCGTATGCCTGTCCACCGAATACCTCCAAGGGCTTCTTCCACATGGCCACGAGGAGTGTAGGAATGAGCTAGGGGAGGACGAAAAGTGACTTGATAGCGAAATATGGAAGCGGTTACTAACAAACGTAGCTGCGCTGATGATTGCCATCTCCATGGATGGGAACCCTGAGAAAGGATACGTCAGTGATAAGATACATTGTCAGACATGTCCCAGTCGCGCACTCAAAGGTTGTCACTCATCCGAGCTGTTGCATCCAGTGTATGGCTCTCCCCTGACCTCCGCAATGAAAAGTGCACCGACACTCCTGCGTTTAAGCAGTAGTCGTATGAGCTACATAGCCTTGTAACCCACCTCCCCACACTATTAACGGATGAAAATTTGGCAGCTATAACGACCGTACGGAAAGTACATGGGCTTTACAGCTGGCAACGATAATGACGATGATCATAGAGTAACGATGAAGTTGATTTAAGGAATTTCATATTCATGCACAATACTAAGTAGACATGACTGGAGGGTCTAGCTGGTTGTGAAATTTATTGTATTGGCGTCCACACCGACGGAACTCCGTTTGTATTTGTTTAGTCCATCTATTCAGATCACCTAGGAGGCTAAGCGTTGTCTTGAAGTTATGAGATTTTTAGGAAGGACGAGTTGTGCCTACTACCCTGCCTACCCTGCCAAGATCTTAAATCCTCCCACTTTAAGCATGAATTGGCCGTTACCACTCAAAATTCGGTGCAACCTGGACACACCTGAAATATCAGATATGAGGAGGCGGACATTCACGTTTGATCAGTTCGGGTGACCCACACAAGACCTTTAGTTAAAATGATCGAAACCGGCACAGATGAATGAAAACTGAGGCTCTGATCTTACGTTAAGGGTAGTTAGTATGGTACACTCCCTCAATAGACGCGCATGATCAAGACCAATGAAAATAACGCCTCTTCTAACCAGTGAGTGAATCTTTCAGGACAATTTCAAGGCCACCTGCCATCTCGTTCAGTGGTATCATGAAATATGATGCTAATATGCGATCAGTAACTGTCGCAAAAGATAGTGTTATGTGTACTTGTTTAACCGGAGATTTCGTCCTGTAAGGGAAGCCAATCTATGCTGGAAAGCCAAGAAACAGCAGTTGTTCGTTCACATATTACAACCTGGTACCTGCTACTAAGTAAGGTTGATATATCCCGTGTTGGCCATACGGGACGTGGAATAATACTGGTTCCGTATGACTTCACATAGACCAGGCATATTTCTGCTTCCCGGAGCCATTCAGTAATCGACAACAATGTGTTTTGAGATCTATTCGGATTTTTGGAGGCGCGTTTATTTACGCCACCGATAATCAGGAGATAGGGTTTACGATGCACAGATTGAAAAAGGAAATACCTGATCGGGACTCTTTAGCGGATGAAGTGAGAGCGTACGGAAAATTTGCCTTATGAAAAATACCAAAGAGCAAATTGCAACTTCGTTCATTTCGGCACCACTATCTCACCAATATCGTGATTTAAATATTGTTGTCACACCTAAAGCTGTCTCTCTGAGAATCCGTAATCCTACACTACCGAGCACACCTTTATTCATGGTTGATCTTTAAACTCGCACAGTATTCTCAAAATGAGCATATTTGTGTATGTTCTCGTGTGTCCTCATTTAGCAAGTAACCTCAGTTTCGCATAATTTTATCTACGTTCACAGTCCGGGTTTTACAAACCAATATAAATAGAGTGTATGTTTTTGGATGTGTAACGTAATCCACGGTCATTCGTTCCTTGCAAAGATTTCCGTGATGAACTAAAGTACCGAAAAAATCGAATAGTTGTTTTTTGTATCTCTTTTTTGTGTAGATCAATCTTTATCATTCATGACTTGCTCGAAAGCTCTTAGCTTCAGCCATTTATTGCGCACCTTCAGTGTTCGATGCTTGCTCGCAACTACTATTTTGCAGTTTTTTATTATTTTGCTTCCAAGAAATTGGGACGTCGTTAGGTTGCGAACGACTGTTGACTTCATCATTTTTCATTGAGTTTACGAGAGCAGCTGACATCTCAGTGAAACTAGGTCACCTCATTTTGTTCCTCACAGTAAGCTATAGAGTACGGGCTTTTTCGGATGCGGCCATTTTACTAATGAAATGAGCTAATGAAAGTGCATAGCCAGTAGCATAACCGATTTGCACCCACCCTGCCACCCTGCAAGCCAGAATTGCCGCAGTTAAAACCCACTCGCATTCAAGTTCCTAGAATAGTTTGTTTAAGGGTATTCGTAGTCAAATCTTGCTCTAAGTGATCGTGGGCCGTGTAGGAAACGGGCGTACACTCATTGCTGCTTATCATACATATCTACAAAATGTCTAATCAGTAAGCGGTCAGTTTTTTTTACTTCAGAGTCATGTGTGTTTGTTTACCATGATGGGCACGTGCTGTCTTGATCTGCCACTCATATGCTAGCTATCTAGTAAACACTTCATCTCAATCCTAACGCTTGAGTTATTGGTCGGCTGCGCACAGGCAATCCGAGACAGCCTGACTATTGTGATTCTATTGTCATATGCCTTTGCCTTTTGATCCGTATTGCATCTTCATTATTTCGTCATTCTCCATAGTCATAGGAGGTCTTTATAAAATATTTATGTTTTCCCCTCATTATGAAGAATGACCAGCGAACAATCAGTGAGAACACCGCGGTTGGCTATTGCACTCTAACTTGTCTGTGATGTAGTTGGACCTTTTACTTTTTCTCTTAAAGTGGCATTTTTCTGGTTACTACAGAAAGCTGAAATGTGTAACACGTACTCTAAAACCTCCAGACCAGGTCACACTTTAGGAACCACACCGAAGAACCAGACAAAGTATTGAATTCTGCAGGTAACGATGCGGCAGTTGTTGCGTAGGGTCGAACTTTTCAAAACAGTTTCCCACAACGTGAATTAGGACAACGTTCCACGGACGCTATATTCAGGACGTTCGTTCATTTTGTCTTTTTTTACACAGTGAATGGTATCACCATGAACCACAATAGGACATCAAATGCTTTATTCTTGTATAAATATCCCTAATAGGTTAACGTCCTGTAAAGATAGATGACTCTGTTCCTCAAAAGCTGCATGTCGAGAGGCAACGGACATCCAAGTCACTTTGTTTCGATAGGCCTAATGTTATTTTAAAATTGCTGTCTGCTATCATTCCCATTGTGTTTTCATGTATGCACAAATCGAAGCAACTTCTAGAACGACAGCGTTCTGTTTTCGAAAACACCTCATCTGAAAGCCAGTTAGTCCTTCACTATTCAAGTAAACTTATGAACAGGTCATTTCTTGTCCTTTTGAGGGCAACCCGCAGTCGGAGTGCAGGAACCAATGCACACCTACATAAGTCACGTAGTCGTAAGTCCGGTTCAGTAGTTGAGCAAGAGAACAACCTTTCACATTCATTAGGTTGAGGAGTAAAATGATAGAGAGTACAGGATGCAGCGAACGAGTTCTGAATGCTCAGTATGGAAGAAGGTAAGCCAAACAGTGCCTAACAAAACTCTGACCGATAATCATCCGCTGTATAATGTGGTGCTAAATGGAGCTTAATATGTCGCAAGCTGGATTTTCAACACTAGAGTCGAGTGTGTACGTGACCATTGTTCGCAAAGCCTCTTTTTCGTAAAGGATGAGTAGGACAGTTTGTCAAGATCTGAAATTCACATAGTTTGACAAAATTGTCAGTGTAAGGCGGTGATTCACCATGAGGACTGGTCATCCTTGAATGAAGCCTTGTAGTTGTCATACATGGTAGGTGTAGATGTCGCCATTTTTTTAATTTTTTTTACGAGCTAACTCACTGGCACAGGTTGGGAAATCCGAAGGTTGATTTTGTCCGCAACTCTAACCATTTGCATGTATTCGCTCGTTGTGCCATGATAGAGATTGCAGCTTTTCGTTAGTCTCCTGAAAGCAATAAGAACAAATGCAATAGAAGTTTTTTGGATTGCACAGGGACATTTTTAATTCTTTAGTAACTAATCTGCACTGTCGGCTGCGTGCTCTGTTCCACACAGACCAACACCCTTGAGTAAATCAGGGAAACTTCCCCGAAGTCTGTGAATTATTCTTCCTTTCTATAGGATTCTTCATCTCCGTGGAAATACGCCACAACTAAAGAAAAAGAAATAAGTTTTTAACTATCATTCAGCCATAGCCCAGTAGCTAGGGTGTGAACCTAATGACCGGAAGGTCTTTAGTTCAAACCAAATCCCGGCATCTCAACTGCCACTTTTTGGGTCTGGACAACTTCTTAGTACCTCGGTCCTCTTCCTACGAGTAACACGGCAGACAAGCACCAAGGTGTTACAAATGAAAGCCACGAACACGGTTATTGATCTGTCCCTAGAATGAGATATGGGAGATCTGATGGAGGAAAATTTGATACTTCGTTCCTTGAAAGGCTGCCCCTTCATGGGGAATGTCAACGAGGAGTATCCACAATCGGTCTCAGTATTTACTAGTGGAAATGCCAAGACCAATCATTCAAAGCACGCGACTACACAAGTGGTAATATGAAGAGCCAAGTGACCTGCCTGGCAGCTGGCTTAGACTGAGAGGTGGCAAGATGGGTGAACATATCGAAAACCATTTGGCTAAGTTGCTTTAATCAAGAGTGGTGCGTAAACAGCTAGTTTAAAAGGAAAATTAATTGTTTTATTAGGACCTATGGCGAACAAATAAACAACGATAAAGTTACCAGAATACCATTGACTTCTAAATATCGATCATTTCATTTAACCTATGCTAGGCGCACTACGATATGCCGTTAGAATTCACGAGAAATTTTCAAATGTTCTGTGTTTTTTTTACAAAAGAGTAGAACTGATCCCTCAACATCTTAACAGATACATGGTAAAAAAAGTGAGTTGGGATGTGAACGCCGGATTTCTTTCGGTTCATATTTTTCTTCTGAATACCAATAGAAGCAACTCTCGATGTATTCCTAAAGTGAATATTTTATCCGAATTCTTACGACTAAACGGTGTGATGCAAATTAGGTCAGATGACTAGATAAACTATCAATAGGCGTCCCACTAAATTACCAAGAGAAACCTGAAAGTTGGTATTGTAAAGGAAGTTTGGAATATCCCATAGAGATGTTATCCCGTGAGCAAGGCTGATCTATGCCGAGGTGCATTGTGCAGCAATCGCATTCTCATTGAAAAACACCAGTAATGCCCATTTTACGAAACTCGGAGAATTTCGAGCCTCTAATCTCCAGTGTAGTAGTTCGAATACAATTTTTCGACCACTAGTAGCTGATGGGCTATGTGGTTTACTCCCTTTTGATAGAATATAGCCCCACTCATCATTCGGCCAAGGGTTCCATATTACACAATCACGTGTTGACCAGCTCCTCATTATCCGTAATCACTAGTATGCTGATGATGAAATAGCTGTATAGTGCTTCTAGGCTTTTCAACATAGATTGGCCTTAATCGCTGCATGAAACCACTTCTGAGTAATGTGGATTTCCTCGCACATTCAAATATCCACTCAACAATTTCCTAACCAAGTGTATCTTGGTTAATGGAGTGATAACGACACCGATAGCCGACGGCAATAAAGTTACATGGGTTCACTCCACTTAGAGAGTGGTAACAGCCGTTACCCCATTTTGGAGGGTCAACTGAGGTGTCTGGTTTGCCTTCATTGTTTTGTTTATATCCTGGGAACAAACTTTAGCACGATGCTAGTTTAGGGTTGTTTGGTGAGAAAATAACCGATACATTTTATCAGAGATACTATGGCTTTATAGATGAACAGAATCAGCCGGTTCTGTGTAGTAGACTCTGATGTGGGCTGGAAAACTTGAGTTCCTCCATGGTGAGTTGGTGGGAGCGGTGGGAGCTAACATGGGCTACATGACAGTATTGAAGATTGAAGCTCATACTCTCAACGTCACACTCATTGCTGATTTATCAATAACAATGTAACAGTTGTCTTGGCTTTACGTGTGAATGTATCCTTAGTTTTTAGACTACTGGTTAAACTACGGTTTGCATTCCTGAATAGAGGCTACTCAATTTTATACACTCCCTTAACGTGATACTAAGCTTACACTCCACTGAAGATCTCATGTGGGGTTTCTAAACTTAAAGTAGCGCTTCCTGTCAAGAAAAATATTTCCATATCTCGAATGTCGTTCCAAATGGAACATCAAACGGTTTTTCAGCATGTTCATCTAAGGAATATCTTAAACTACAGCTGCAGGCGAGCTTCACTTCTCTCTTCTGTTAACTCTAAACTATTGTTCTCGTGCTGTGTTCGTATCTCTACGCACGTAAAATTACATGGTAAAGTGGAAACTCGGGAAATGCACTCTGATAAGTTCAAAGAGGAGCTCAAAATTTTGGACTGTTGAATAGGTTTCATCAACCTCACTGGTGTTATATCATGATGATCAGGTCGATTTGTTCACCCTCATGGGTCTCACCTTGATTCATCCCATAAACACAACTGGAAATGAACATTGCATCCCGATTCTGCTTTCATTTGGCATGTACGTCCGCTCTCGTAACGCGAATCTGGGTTATCGTAAGTCCACGATAGGCCGAGAATTGCTAGACCAGTGGGCTACAATCAGTAAGTGGAAACAGCCTGGATTTTCAAAAGCTAACTGGCATGAAAAACGAATAAAATGAAATAAAACACGTAATGAAACCCAAATAACAAGATGAACAGATGACGCGGTCTGTATTGGCGGAAGCAGTTTATTGCGCATTCCGTTCTAACTGCTTCTGATAAAGTTTAGGAGCCACAGCTCGGTTTTTCGATGTTCGCGTCCAAATTTCATATATTTAAGCTAAATATTACACGACCGCCGGCCCCGGTTAGGCGCTACCATGTGTGGTTCAACTGATTTTTCGTGGTTGATCTTATTAGGCCCTACTTACTAGGGCTCCGCTTACCTGTGCATACCAACTAACTGCTTCTCAGGAGTTCTATGCCAAACTTGGCTCGGATATTGTTAGACAGACTGAAGGCCTTGTGATGTGGGAATTTTAAGGTCAAATCACAACGCGGTGGTGTTAGGTGTTGTAACCTGACGTTTCAACTGCAGTTATTGAAGTGGGATCTGGATCTGGCTTACTTCACACGTAAGTAGGTGTAGTAACCGTAGGTCAACCTGGCATCTCAATGATGATGCATCACAGTCAACACAGCAACAAATGGGGCAAGTCCCAGCCAAAGTAAGCACACAGTCATGCGTACACGCTCACAGAGCTGACAAAAATCCCCATCCACTGGTCCCTATGAGAGCCAACTGATCACATGAACACAAAAACCCGAAGAGGATAACGGACTCAAATAAGGCTGCACTTGACTCGCATTCAAGTACTTGTAGAAATCCTTGAAAAATGTCACACACGGCAACAGAAGCGTTGGACTATAACATTTAACTCCACTATGCTGTTTTGACTTTCAACTCCCTACGTGGTTGCTTCTGACTTCCACTCATCACTGGGCTCTAAATACCGACACAATCTACTGTTTAGGCGTCAGTTGTGAAACTCCTAGTTCACTTCTTGCCCATTATTAGGACATACGTGATTAAACACTCCGAAGCAATTGTCTGGCAAATCAAAAGCGGTCAAGAAAGGCTGCTGCAGTCTAAATTATAGTTTAAATAGAGAGAAGGATTTTGTGTGAAGTAAAACAATTAGATCGAACTGGATACGAAGTACTTGGGTGAACTGCTTTTCCTACCAGCTAACTTTCCAGCAATTTAGTTGCAAGCTCAGTGTTGGCACAATGTGTCAAGCAAGTGACACGTTGAAAACGAAATGGAAGGAAACAATCACCGATACCGACCAAAATCTGCCAGATCAGTTGAACAAACTTGCGCCAATAGGAAACAAAGTAACCCAACTCCGGTCACCCGGTTAACTGCAAACAACTAGAATTTTCAGTGGTGATTTCCTCTGGTAAGTGAAGCCAACGTGATTATTCCACAGCTGTATAATGGTTGCTTAGACTCATCAGCAATCCATAGTTCAGAAATTGCTTCATACAGCCACAACCTATGAGTGACTCAGAAGGAGAGGTAATTCGCTTGACTAGTGAACCTTCACTGGATAGCTACGGTTCTGTACAGCAGTACTCAGTGTGTGATCCTGAGCACAACACTAGTGATTTTTAGCCACCGGTCGTTTGATACTGGTGTTTTGATGTTAAATTTCCCTCCTTTCAACCACCTACACAATCAGTTAGTATCTTCATATGACCGGTATGAGTGCATGGACACAAAGCTGGTTGTTGCGACAGTCGACCGGTCTTTGAGTCATCGAGTGTCCATCTGTTGTCTGGTAGGCGATAGTTGTTGTTCGGTGGTATTAAATGTTTCTCGCAGAGTACGGGATGGATGGCTTGGAAAGAACCCAACATACATACCACTTAACATTGGGGTCGATGCGTGGATCGTTTATTAAAACAGTTTTAGTATTGTTTCCCCCTCGGCTGCGACCTCATCTGCTTTCGGAGCAATTTATTAGCACCACCACTTTGCGTAGTATGTCCCAAGAAAATCAGCAGTCGGTTCCAACCACTAGTCATCAATATGTTTTATAAGACGTCAAGCGAAAACGTAATTTATCGACCTAACCAGCCGGGTTAACAATGGGTAGTCCGTAGAATTGATCGAGTGTTACATGGTGTGAGTAGGACATTGAAGAACGGGATGATATATCATTGTTCTAATTCTTAGGAGAACTTGACACTGTGGCTGGCAGTTTTTTGAGTCGCAGCCAGTTGATCCATCTCAATCGCTCTAGCTTTTACCGTAACAATTAATTAGAAAAGATGGCAATAAAAAGAACAATGACGGATCGATTCTGTCAAACTGTCACGTTCAAGTAGGAACACATACGTATCTAGTGCAAAAGCTTCTGGTGAGCTCATGGCTATGCTGACACTCTGTCGGTTTAAGCCAACGTGTAATGTGTACTGCGACACATGGAACTTCGAAGCAGAGGTTTCTTCGAAGTGGAAAATTCCCAAGTTATAGTTCAGGCCATCTTACTCCCAGATTATACATGTATGGATCTACACATCACTTCGACGCGTAGCCAACGGCCAAATACCGACAATTATCCTGATTAAGTGTACGTGGGATCTCAAATTGCAGAAATAATCAAAAACATGAACGTTCCCAAATAAAACGTATTCTATTCTCATGCGTGTTCCTTGTTTAGAAATATGCTTCCATTCGAGGAAGTCAGTGCTACATCCGGTGAAACAAAAATAGGAAATTTCCGTTTCTGATTGCATCTTTTAGAGAACCTCTGTACTGATTCACCGTGAATATGCCATTCACGTTTGACGTTGTTTTGCACTGACAGACTGAGGGTAAAGCTATGGGAGCGCCATCTCGTGCTCGAATAGCACATATACAGAGAAGCGCCATGTACCGGAAACTGTCTTCGCCCTGGCTCAAACCTAATCAAGGGTCCGCGCACTTTCCTGGCATAAAGGTCGGGGAACGAATTTGGGTCGTGACTTGTTACTCACACAGAGATTGACTGGAACCACTGGTTTATGGTGTAAGAACTTGTGTAACCAACTGAGTGATAATGTCCTTCCATTTTCTTCGTTAGTCTCATTCTTAAAACCATGCAGTTGTATTGGGTGTGAAAGTAAAGAGTGCAAAGATAGTTCTTCATGCTCATTGTTGTATTAGATAAAGTTTATTTACTTACTGAAAAATGAAAGTGTAAAATGAAAGATCATAAAAGTAGCACAGGCTAAACACAGAAGATTTCTTACGGACACTGCTGATGCTCTGAACTGATAAAAAATTTACTTTATTCTGTTGGTCTTCATTTAGTAATCAAAAGAAATAGCGAAAGGTTTACCTCGACAGTTTTTCATCTTCAGATTTAGCTTTCGAAAGAATGTGTCTGAGTAAGCTAGTAGTATACGTGTTTGTTACATTGTGGAACAGTATTCGTTAGTCTCGTTAAGCACCTTGGTTTGTTAATTTGCTAATTTAGTGATCTCGAGCCGGAAACCAATGCAAGCTTAGTTAATTTGATCAGAAACAAAGCCGATGTTATGGAGAAATGCACAGAGATGGAATTCTTTGGCGGATTCTGTCTCTCAGCGGAATAGGGGAGTTAAGGTTTGATCAGCAGTATTCCAACAAGCGGCCATCAATCAGGCAAAAGCCATAAAGATGGGCTTCGTTTGGCAGGTGGTGAGGTCAATCATTTGGTGCCAATACGTGCCTAAATTCCAATGTTGACAGTACGGAGAGATTAAATGAATGCGTCGGAAATTCAGTAAAATAAGTTAAATTACCTCAGAAACAGCGACTAGGCAAGCGATTCACTCTGTACATACGTGACCTATACGTGACCATTCGGTCACTCAGTCTCAGAAGTATCCTCCCTAGATCTCACTGCTTTCGAACGGCTGGCAAATCACACCTTCACAGTACGATGCCTGGTCTTAAATATTGCGTTCGATTGTTCAGATTACTATTCTACATCCAGCACATCTTCTGGTAACCAAGATAAACATTCTCTCCGAAGGTCCCCATTTTTCTCATCAGCCTAGGTGTCCACATAAGAGTAATAGCAAACTGTTCATTTCTGAATGATGTCTCAATGACGATTTGGTCTCGGACGACAGGTATCACATGCTAGATATTTCGTTCCAAGTATGGACTGGTCATGGTAGATCTATATCATTTCCCTGGAGTGTCACAGATTACACCGATGGGTGGGACTGATTCGCACTATCCAAACTGACAACGAAAAGGAAATAACGTCATAAGGCTTTATATCAATTTGTCACGACAGACCAGGTAGCTATTGGGTTACTGGGGGCTGGTGGGTGCCGAATCTGTGGACAAGATTATGCGGTTTGTGTGCGTATGGACAGACCGACTAAGGTCACTGAGGTCACAGGCTATCAAAGCACATCACAAGGTCATTTGAACAGTAGCTCTCAGGAAGAGTGCAAAGGTGGCAAAACTGCGCGATATCCCCTTGAAACAAGTTTTGTGGTTTCCAGTTTAGTGAAACAACGTTACTCCCGGTGTTTTCTCGGCTAGATATGTTACTTCCAGTTAGCAGTCAGCAATTGTAGCCAAATGACTACAAGTTAGCCAGGTCCAACGTGCAAAAACAATCTATACTGCTTGAATCTCTTTCGCAAAAGAATAATGGATATAGTCCATAAGCTTTACTAAAAACAACAGAAGGAATAGTTAATTCGTCGTTCTTTTATTAAAGGAATTCGACCCTGGTCTTAGGTCAAACTCACCGACAACCGGATTGCTTATTGCATAGATACTCATGCTTGTTTATTATGGTTCCGAAATTTTAACTGCCATTTTTCGTTAGGAGCCTAATTAGTCACAAAAGGATACTCGAAGAACTGCTATTTGAAAGCATCCTACGCATCAAAGTAGTATCATAGTAGGAGAAAACTCCAGGCAGCTTCAGGTGGCGTGTCAATTTAAAGTCTCTCTTATGCAACGGTGAGCTCACTTTAGAGAGGCAGTTGCATGGAAACATTCTCCAGGTCATTTTTGGGAGTCGGGGTAATACTCACGCATTCGGGTGAAATAAATCGTGACTAGGTAAGTTTTCAATCAGTCACAGAAGGACGGCGACTGTTTTCCGCCATGTTGGACCAAAAACAATGTCATCAGAGTGATTTGTTGGTACGGTCCGAAAATTCGTGCACAGCAGGCCGCACTACAATTCATCTTGATGGGCTGGGAAGAATTTCAGGTGCATAGGAATCTTCCACGAACCCTGACCTTGTTCAAGAATTCTGTCGCATTGCATTAGTCTCAGATGTTCTCAGCCGATAAACAGCATCTTAAGAGGTGTCGATAAAACAGTGGTGATTACTAGCACCATTGTGTGCGACGACCAAATTCATTCGAATTTCGATGCAGCCATTCTGACCAGCACTTTTCTAGTTGCAGAGATTAGGAAAAGTGATGCTTAGTGATGGTTAAGTGGAACGGCAAAATCGCTAAGTTAGCCAGTTATAAGTACCAAATATTTCCAGCTGCTATACTCAGGAAAAACTAGCTTATGCGCTACTCCGATCCAACTAAAAATGGCTGAATTGTGCTGTGTGAAATTATCGACCGCGTTCCATAGTTTATGTCTATAGATTTCCATATAATACCCTCTTCCCAAGCTGGTAGGTTTGATCGCCATTTAGGAGGAAAAATTACTATTGTGGCACAATAGAAACTCAGGGAATTCTATTCACCTCTTCATAGGTCCTCCAAGCATGCCCTGTTGAGAGGTACAACTAGGAGGCAATTTATAAAGTATTATGCAGGGTGAATTCTTCTTCGGAAAATTGTATGCAGTCAAGTCGTCGTTGGTGATCAGGTCAAGTTATGTAAACGTCACTACGCGAATTTGGATCGATTTCCGGTGGAGTGCCATAATCTGTTGATTTACTGATTATTTCCTGAAACTTAGTCTCACCCGACAGCTTGTATCTTTAGCTTACATGTCTTGAAGTAAAAGGAAACTAGCAAATGCTCGAATAGACTGTTTCTAGCAAAACCACTGCTCACCTCGTCTAGGCAACTAGCTGCAAAGTGTTACTTACAATGACTTGGAAACATATGAAACCAACACGTTCCCGTGCAAAACGCAACTTCGGTCTATCGTTCATGAAAGTAGTATTGATTGAACTCCCGTTGAACATCTGCAGCAGTGACTACTATTTCTTTATCGTAGATGGTTGGTCGATGGTGGCGTATTTTCCAGTGAACCGTTTTTATGAACCAGGTTTAAAAATAGCAGCTTCATTTCAACCACAGTGGTTGTTTCATGACACATGACCTGACCTGTGGGCATATAGGATGCCCGAAATTCCCTCTTTTTTCTTCTATCGAAAACAGTTTTAACCTCCAACACGGCGAAAAGTCAATTGCATTTTCCCCGCACCACGAACTTCCGTAACTGTGTTGCTCTCTAGTTAGATCAGTACTTGGTTATCAGTACCCTTTCAATAGCTTAGTGTTAATGCCACTAGCTTGATACTTTACATATAGCGTCAAATACATTCGTCCTCCTTTCCTTCCTAATGATTTGGTATGCTATGCTAACCAAGCTGTAGATTTGCACGTTTGAAGTTCATTTTCAAGTGCATGCACTTGATGAGAGAAGAACGCTTCTGTGGTTTCACGATCACAAAGCATCTTTGCTTTAACGATTGAAACGATGCTGGTACGTTTTATCAGCATTGTGAATGATTTATTGTGTTCTAATTAGACCTACACTCAACCCCAGTGCTCTAAAACTTTGGTGTAAGCTGATCATAACACCTTTTTCCAGACAGCAGGTAGGCTGAACAAGCGACATGGATATGTTGGAAAATTTTACAAATCATCCGAGCAATTATGGTCAATGACCAGAAGACTGCGCCCCCGAGGTATTGACGCAAGAGTAGCTCCCTACCGTTACTATGTGGACAGAAACCGACCGATGAACAAAGGATGGAAATGTTGTCGGAACATGTCATCTAGTACCTTGTTTTCCGGCACTATCTCTCCACAAAACCAGACATCCCGTATACCACTTACAGGCAAATTTCATCTGCAGTGATGCTACCGAAGTTCTTGCTTCATAAGCAACATTTCATAGGTCTTTCATACAGCTATTGCTCACCAACAATAACTGGGTTGAGAATTCAAGTCACATCATTTTTAGTTCTGAAATATATATGATGGCAATTCGTCCTTTGGAAAAAATGAACCAACGTATCACGCATCGGGATACAAACACGATTTGATTGGTGATAAACTTACGTCACAAAGGATATAGTTTACCAAAAGCAAAATTTGAAAGACTGTTTTCCACATCGCAGCCTTTTATTGCCAATAAGCGGTCTCCGTAGTATAATTCCGTACTGTGTATTCAAAGCGAAATTCGTAGTTGGTAAGATTAGGTGCGGAACGGTACGCTTAAGTAATACAAATGTCTCAAGGACAGTGGCTGTTCAGCAGTCATTCAGATGAAACATAAACGAATGTTTCTGCGCAATGTATACAAACGTCTATCGTGTGGTTCGGCAATCAGTCGCGGAGTATTCCAGTAATCAGTTCTACACAATCGATTACAACTCGTAGCGAAACGGATCATCGAAACAAATGGGTGGGCACGAGCAGAATTCATCAATATTTCGAGGCAGATGATTCGCAAGAAGAAAATTCAGCTAGAACTGAACCATCTCTATTGTGGGCTGGAATGTTAAAAGATGTGTCCCATGAAATAAAATTCTTGTCCTCCTTCAAAGCCTGTCGTGCACTGTCACCGTAGTGAATGACCAAAGACTGATGGGACTGACGCTGATGCTCGCTAACACTTCCAGATCTTAGCGTGTAAATCCACTAATGATTGACTAACAGGTACTTCATACCAGGTGCTGTCTGAAGAACATGTATTGATATCAGCAAAATACACTTATTTACATAATAATTTGATTTTGACGGAAGATTCAAGAAAACCTAGCTGAATCTTTCGTTTATGATGTTTTTAAGCAACTGAACTTGTTGCACCAGGCCACCTCATGGCTTAATTGGCATGATATCCGAGATATCACGGCATGGTGCAGCGAACCCATTTGTTTAGAAATATCACAAACGGAGGATTTAGCTGATTCCCAGGTGAACATCCCGTGAAAACCAAATTGGTTTGCAGATGAGTGTAGTTCGCTAATTTTGTGCGATTTGGGTTCAAGTAGAACATAAGGTTGACGGAAACTCGAGGATTTCGCCTACATGATAAGCCCCAAAACGGACTAAATCGGTCGTGGTATGTCAAAGAGTTTTCAGAAACTTTATGGGTAGTTTAATATGTCTATACGGTGTATTGATCTCCTTTCGTTCACTGGTACTTTACCACACCGTGTTACTATCACTAGCAGACAGGTTTGACCATCCATAGGAGGCTAGCCTTTGGTCATTTGCTGGCGCTGCCGCAAAGAACCGCTGAAAACTTTGAGGTCGCCAGTCTTCCTCTTCTGCACACGGGAGAAAAGAGCGCTTAGGATGTGATTTCTCTCGTGACGCTCAGCTATTTGCCGGGATAAATTTATTTGGGGTCATTTCCCTTGTTTTAGTGTCTACTCCTGCACTAACAGGGGTTAGTCAACTCCAAAGGAGAAAGGCGAACCTCGTGTCATCTTTTCGCCAGATGGATCTTCAGTTAATAATTTTGCAGATATCCTGGCCGCAAACCCCATCAAATGGAATTCGGCCTGATTAGGTTTGCCGGCCTTCAGAAGATTTAGGCAGTGTACTTGAATTGCTCTGAATAAACAGGCGGATATGTTCAATCGACTGAGACATTTAGTTGGCCCGATGCCTTGAAGGTCAAACAAGTATGCATCTTAGTTGTCTGTATCAGTGGTCTGCCTCCCAAAAAGTTCCTCTTCGGTAGTGTTGGACTACAGTGAAAACTTCAGCAAGTTGCTTCTGGACAATCTTCTCCTCCTGCATTGCAATAAAAAATCGGTTATGTGGGATGGTACCATTCTTCAGTCCAAATATGGCTAATAGGCTAACCTACAAAAAAACGATACCATAAACATGAAATTACATATTCAAAAACAGAACAACAAAACTGTATGCTTTGCCCATCTTAGTTAAGTAGACTAGGTTAGATGTACCGTCATACCTCTCTTGTTATCAGGTTAACTGAGGGACACTTCCGGATCTTCTGTGGCTTCACCGCTGAAATCTCCGTAGGATCTGGAGGCGAAATAGGGGCCGAGATGAGGCACGGAAAGCTGCATCATGAACAGTGCATCCCTCTGAACGTTATCGATTATTCCCTACTCCTCTAGTGTATCTAGATGAATAAGTTCAAATGGTCGACTTACCGATGGAGTATACTTGCATGACATGTATAAGTCCGAATCATGTATTGGAACCGTATCATCGATACATTTCGGTTCAGGCCGGTTCGCTGTAGCAGCCACACCGGAGCATCACTCTAACCTATTTGCGTTAAATACCTATCAGAGTGCCTCATGCACTCACCGTCAGCTTTTTCCTAGAAGTCAGAAAGTATGAAGAATGAGCGCCTGTTTAAAAGCAGCGGTTGAACAGCTGTTGTCAGTAAACTAACCTGAGAGCTTAACGGTTCCTACGGAGGCTGTGATGGAATCAGAACAAATCTCTGCTCAGGACGGGAGCGATAGTATTTAAGAGGTATAGCCTTATTTTGCTGGTCAATTCCACGGATTCCACGCGGAAGGTGTAACCGCTATCTCAGAAGCATTATATGCCCGTCTAAAAGAATGGATTCCATTAGTACTTCTGGTGAGCGTATTCACCTGAGGTGAGTGATCCGTGGGGTTAGTCTGCACTGAATTTTAACGTGTCAGGGTGTTCCAGATCCACAGTTAATTTACCACTCGAAGAGCAGAAAACATAATCAATGCTTTTAGCAAATTCCTGCCTTTTATAAGTATCAGTATCGGCAATCATATTAATGTTCCCTTGAAATTCATATAATGCCCCACTGGCTGACTTGGAGAATTTCGGTAGTTTCACCAGATCACTGGAAACAATATCAAACTGACGACCACGCTGTTCTAAAGCACACATTGTATATTTGTACAACTTACGGTAATGCATGCCTTTGAGCTACTACGTTGAATTACCGAAGTAGCAGTAGATATTAACTATAGTCCAACATCAAATAGGGGCGAGGATGAACTTACTGGGACATACCTATGGCCTGTGACAGACTGAGTTACTGTTTTCCGCTAAGGTATCACTTATGACGTAGTGCGACAGTGACCTTCATGACAGTGATGGCAACAAAGGTTAATTAAATTATCTAGTCACGACCTTCGCACAACTCGTCTCAAATCGTACGAATTTAACCAAATTAAAGTGGGTTATGGGTTGAGTGAAACTACGGCGCTTGTCAGAACGTCTAGACAATTGTATTTTGCAAATTTTGTGACACACTACTACGACAATTCTTCTACGTGACCAACTCCCCAGGGGCGAGTTCATCTTTGAAGTGCATAGGCTTCCCAAACCTCTTAACATGGAACTAATTCACATCCCACGAACTCTGTTTGGGGTGCGTTGAGTTCACAGGCGAAAAGAGCAACCGTAGCATAGTTCCTCTGATAATGGACGAACTGGCTTGTCTAGATTCTTGGCTCATAAGCACAATGTGTTTGGTATGCCCTTTGACCTCTGTTGATTCATCAGACACAGCAAACGACTAGTGACGTGTGAGTGGTCGATGATTTGTCATCACAAATGATCTTCCACGAGGGTTATCTCTATGAACAGAAGGCTGATATGTCCGATCGGGGTAGTAAGTGAACCGAATTGTACTACAAGCTCTCTGAATAACATAATCTCCGTAACGTCCAGGCGCAGCAGCACTGCCATGTAACGAGACAATTATTGTGATGCGTATCCATCCACACATTGAGGAAAGTTCTGACATATCAGCATCGGTCGCGTTATTATATTCCCATTTGTGGCCAACATGGTGAGTCCTAATGACAGGAATACTATATGGACAAGAGAACTTAAGAGATATCATCCCAGTCTTCTGGTAACACCTGAAAAGCTGATTCATTTTCCATGAAGATACCAGTCTCATCTTGAGTCGAATAGTTTTCATTTCCCCGATTTGGTCGGTTTTTCGGAAAACTGTTGAGTTCGAGTATGGTTTCTGTTATTCCATAAGCTGATCCTGTCGTCGAAAGCTTGTGTAAATATCAAGGCAGAAACTAGTTTTGGCCTCATAAGCTTGGTCGAATTGAGGTGTTTCGTATTAGTGGTTATTGTTTCGGGTGATGAACTTTCATGTGAGTACCACAAATCAAAAAGTATTTATTAATGTGCGTAGGTGAAGATATTTCGAAGAAATCAATCAAATCACTCCAGGGAAACCTGATTGTTACCAAAAAAACAGTATTTCAGTAGGCTAAAAGCAATGCTGATGGTCTTGGGAATTGTCCCAATTCGCGTTTATATTGGCCTAATATGCTTTCAGGCTGTTACGTGTAGGCGTCATATCAGATTTTCTCTTTTAGTAGTAGTAGCCACACAGATTGCATCCTAATGAGAATATAAGCTGTCTATTTAGTCTTCGGTTATAGCGAATGGGAGATATGAGCTGAATTCTGAACACCAAATGTCCCGTCAAAGTCCATGTTTTAACCACCAAAAGGTTTTCAATTTCACAGTGATAACTTTGAAGGGTTGTAGGAGTTGTAGGAGTAAAAATATTTCTTGCAACCGGCCCCCCAACAAACACTTCTTGACTTTCGGACTGTGGCAACTGCACAATCCCTGGCTCCAACAGTTCGTTGAATATGACAGCGCCGAGAATTTGGGTCCAGCGCTGGGTTCCATAAGTGTACGTATTTGGAGAGAGGTGAATAGTTACATATAGAACAACGATCGGCTGCAACTGTACGCATAGTATGACCTTAACCCGCCTTTTAAGCTTGTGAGAACTACATTAATAACTTGGTCCCTGACAAGAGTGCACAAGAATTTCAGTCCGTTTTTCACGATATGGACCATGTACAGCAACCTGTTGGTTCTGGTTGTCACGCCATTTGGGTGCCGATCATGTGAGCTGAAGAACAACTTCAATTGATGTCCACAGAGAGACCATGAAAAAGTGGTTCAGCTGTAGCGTCCTTTCGGTGCGTAGGTGTCATTTCATCCAAAGAAAGCAAGAGCGCCGAGACTCTACCAGGTTGCCCAGGCCTAGACAGGAGCGGTCGAGATGTAGAGGTTGGGTTCTAATCACGGAATTCTCAGTTTGTTAGCTCGTGCGTCAACCACTGAGCCATTTCGAGCTCAGAGTGAGGTAAGAATATAGATAAAATAGTGGACGAAATGTGAAAGGTGAGGGAGTGGACAAAATAACGTCCATTGTCCTCAAAAATGTCTAAGTTGAATGAAAACAGAAGGGTTGCTTTTAATTATTAGTATGGATTTAGTTTGCACTACTACCATCCGAAAAGATTCAATCACTTATAGAATCTCAGACAAGTCTAGCACTATAACAGCCAAGCGTGCACTTCGTAGTTGGAGAACACACTCCGGTTATTTTTATGTGAGCAGAGACTGAACCCACATAGGCTAGACTAGTGAAGACTTCTTCTGACATTGCAGAGGTTCCTTGAACAATAATTTCCTCCAGAAAGTTGAACAGGAAATGGTCAAACGGGGAAGACACTCATTTTTGTGATGAGGCCGGGAGAATATGAACCGTAAACCCCAACTTCCCAAGTGACGGCTATCTCCGGCAAATCTGTGGAGTAATGGTGCCGCTACAAACCGGCGCAATCGACTTTTGTCTGAGATAACACCAACCGCTGGTGTGGGGACGCTCAAATTTTCGAGTGAAGAAAAGATGAACGGACTCAGGCACAGGAGGGACGTTGATTGATCGCCAGAGTTATGTCTGTCAGTACCTCAGGATCAATGATCATCCACCAGATATCCTGATGATTAGCGCATTGCTCTACTGTCCTCTTGAAAACATCATCCGGCTGTTTCCAACCGTCACTACTATACAACAGTCACTGAAGTTTGTTTCGAGCATTTTTGGGACATACAGCCAATTGTCGCTTCAAAGGTCTGCAAGCTTCGCCGCGGTGTTTACCTGGAGTTATGGATCTTATTGAGCGACAACCTGAGTTGAATCCCGGTTAAAGTTTGAAATGCGGTTTATCGAAAGCTCAATCTGGTTCAACTCGTGCCTATCGCCGCTCTTACTTAGGTCGTCCTGTTAGGCTCATAACCGAGTACAGTCTACTGCAATGTTGCGACTTTGAGAGAGTTAAACTTGAGCAGGCCGGTAGTTTTCTTCACGGACTAAAAGAACCGAACCACGAGGAACACGCGAACCAGGGCACGGTCCAAGGCTACACAAATGTTCTAAATTTAAGAGTAATCTAAAATACACAACTGACAACAATAGTTGATCGATCTGGTTGATCTGAGTACCAGGTTGGTTGCGATTTGTAGGACATCAAGCGACTACATGTGCCCATAGAGCCATAGTTGCGCTAAACATTGGTGATTAGCACACAACCGTATATAGTAATCACAACTCAAATAACGTATTACTAAGACTTTATGCTCACCAATTCACTCAACATGAGAGTACTTAAATGTGTACTTGGCCATTTGTAGAAGTCTAGGAACGTACCAATAAAAGTTCATTTTGAGGGACTCACTGATGCAGTTGGCTGGGGTATATGCAGAAAAAAGTCACCAATTTAATGAACAAGTTATTCTTCAGCTGACAGTTAGTGTTATAAAAGGCCCACCTAATGAGTGCGAAGGTTCCGGGTCCCCATCTGGGGAGGCAGCAGTTGTAAATGCCACATGGATTCCTGGTTCGTGCTTCCATACTATTATCTGGTTATACTGTCCATCCTTCGGTCGTCCCCAATCAGCTTATCGTGGTACTCGTGGTATTACCATGTCAGTTTCACATCTTTCGGTTGATACCACAGCAGACCTATACGTTTCTGCTTCAGAACATAGCTATAAGATGCCTTCCTGCGTATAAACCTCAAACAGACAGATGCTGTCAATTGATACGCCGAAAGAGCGCATAGGGAACCGAGGTGGAACGGCCGAATGTCCAATCATCCGCAATTTAATAATGCAAATCGTCTAGGCAGACCAAGTTGTACATGGCCTTCAGTTACGCAGTCCCATTAAGTGACCGACCAGACTTACGTACAAATAGCCATAGGAACATGCAGCCAGATTTCACGTGCGTTCTACAGGTGACCAGCCTGTGCATTTTCGTGCCCTTATCTTTGCACCAGCCCTCAAAAGGAGTCACATTCTCCCGATGGGATATTAATTTACTGAAAACTGTTCGACAGCCCAATACCAGTTTGATTATGTTAGCGCAGTCCCATCAATTTCCATTCACCTCAGGTTCTCATTGACCACTGTAATTGATGAAAAACACTGACTTGAAAATTAAGACTGAAATAACTATCTCATTCATGGTTTATTTATTTTTGTGGGCTATTCAACCCAAGTTATCCAACAATCTCCGAAAATGGATACCCGGGTGTTTCATGAAGTTCGTAGCTCCCGCCCATGTTGTGCCTGGTAGATCACTTATTGTTTTTTACAACGCAATCAATTTTGTCCAGAGCCCACCAAGAGAAATGTAAGAAATCAAAGACGTACTGAAGAATTATGCCAATCGAACGCAAGGTAAATAAGAGCAAGTTACAGAAGATAGGTATAAAAAAGGTCTGATATAGAAAAAATAACTGATCGGTGCTGAAACAAGAGAAACTCGTTATCGATAAAAGAAAGGAATAAGCGCTGTGCGTGGAAGGGAAGTAGGTTCCCCCTCTGAAATGAAGAAGCATAAGAAAGACGAAAATCGATGCGTAAGCTGACAGAAGAGTGATATGTTATGTTACTTTGTTGGTGTGTGCATATTAGTACGGATGAGTTGCCGGGCCTGTTCTAAAAGTTTATCACACAGAGCCTTCGCAGCGGTTGTACTCGGTTCCACCAATTTAGCCTGTGAATGAAGCCATTGCTGAGCTTTGCGAACGACCAATTCCCACTCAACCTCGGACTCGGAGTGTCGGAGTTCAAAATAAGCAATCACGAGCATTGTGATCCAAGCGCTATCCGACAACTCATTCTGGGATGATGCTTGCCCTAAAAAGGAAGCAAATATGTTAACTTCAAGCGGTTTCATTACCAGCACCCAACACACTGCATCAAAAGTGCATCCAGCTGTCCCTGTCAAATATCCAAAACTCTCATCACTGGAATTCTAAATCACATACACTGCACAATTATGAGAGAGGGTGGATGGTTGTGAACCTGTTCCGTAAACTCAGCGATTCGGTTGCTAACACTTAGAAAAATTCATCCAACAGTGTGTCAACGACATTTCCTGCAAATATGCATAAATCTTTAACCAAGCTCATGTCAATTTGCTGAAGAGGTCTGATCATACGTCAGCAGATCGTTTGGGTGACATAAGGTAATTCACAGAGCCATACTTGCCAGTGTGATGGGGTCAAGGGTTATTTTGCCTAGATCGCCATTGCTCCGGGGTTGAGGTGTTAAACGGGGTCGGACTGTGTGCTCACTGAGTGACTATACCTAGCACAGTGTCAATAAACTGCTGATACATTTCGATTTTCGGTCCCAAGTAACGTCTTCTGCGGTTATGAAAGTATTATCATGCGTCCGACGGCTGAACGATTACCACCTGATGGAGGGTCGAATCGGTCAAAACGTAACCCTGCTACGGGAGTGCGGGCGAAAAAACAGAGCATAACATAAAAAAGCGAAATTCATATCTGGGAACTTTCCCAGATAATCGTTCAGCTGCAACGCCCTTTTGGTGCTTAATTGCCATGCCACCCGAGGGAAGCACGATGGATGGGATTCTGTCAGGTTGCCCAAGCCTAGACAGGAAAAGTAAGGAGACAGAGGTAGGGTTCGAACCACGGACCTTCCGGTCAGTAAATCAGAGCGCTAACCACTGAGACCCCCCTTCTCGGATAGCAAATTTAAGATGAATCACTCGCTCGGTGGTGTATCTCCTAAAATGATAACACTCTTGTGCGACCCTAAGATAGGTTGAGTTGTTTATCGCTTCTCCGAAGTAACGATATGGCAAAGTTAGGCTGCGTGCTTACTAAGTTGTGGTAAAGAGAGAGTGTGTCGCGCTCTCGCACATTGCTGATCTGATCATTGCGTGTGTGAGTATGTTCGTATCACCATGCCCGAGTTGCGCATTATATCAGTCCCAGAAAGCCAGCCACCGCGACTCGGAACAAGTAAAGATATTGGTCAGCCTTATCATTTAGATAACAAGGTAAACTAAGCAAGGAGCTGATCAAAGAAAAGCCGTAGTCAGTGATTTTAGAAAGTGAAGCATAAAAAAGTTGTCCAGGAACACGGATGCCAGTCAAGTAATGCAAGCGAAAGTGAGTGGTGTATGGTCAAAAAAACATAGTAAGGCTAATGAAGATACGCAACCAACACGAAACAAACTACTTTCGAATTTGAGCGCAACGTTTAGAAATGGACCTAAATTGTTTATTTGCTGGACGGTTTAAAGGGGTGCCAAAGCTCTAACTACGATAATCTCAGCTCGTCACTCTACCCTAAAAATTAGAAAGGGTTTCGATAATTATATCGCCTTAATTTACCGAAACTAGACTGATATGAACAGCATCTAGCAAAAAGTAGCCAAGCAAACATGTGAACACATTAAAAATTCCACCTCGGAAGATATCAGACAAGTACTTACATGTCTTGGGCTTCTCCTTACGCACCATCGCGGCATCAATCTCCAGCAAAGCCACAACCTCATCCACTAGTGGCCAAGACCCTGAGAATTGCTGTAATTTTACAAGTTTTACTATTGAATCCTCTTGTCTCTCAACGGGCTCCTCCGTAGATTGAGAGCACACTGGAAAATATTTGCACAGAGCTTTAAAAAGCAAAAGAGACGAGTAGCGAGCCACATACAAAAAATACTGACCAGTAACGGAGATTGCTCGACAATACAAGGAAATGTGAGCCAGTGTATTGGAAACTAACCACGACCAAGTTATGCGGTCAACTTGTTTTTCAAGCACACTTTTCGTAAGTGAACTCTGGAGCACGAATTTCACAAGGGCACAAGGGCTGAGATACTGCTGAGTAGCCCAAGTCTAGAAAGCAGCAATGAAAAAACCGGGAGAGGTACTTGGCGCCCTGTCCCGGTTGTGTGAAAGATCGTTATAATTCGAAATCCAATATAATCATATTGCTGGTATTGAACAGTCAGTCAGTTACTCAGCTCACAAACTGTGCACCGAAGCGCGGCGGTTCCAACTGCTATTGTTACGTCCACCGAAGACGAGGATAAGGAATAGGAACCAGACGTGCGAGATAATGGACTAATGTGTAGATTGTCCAGAATGATAGGAAGTGGGAGCTAAGCAGTTACCAACTCGAGTCCATTGACTGGTAAGGACTTTCATGCCTCGTTGCCAGATCATAAACGGAACGTTCCGGAGTAGTCTCTATCCGACACAAGGCTGGATATGAGAGGATTCTACGAGGCAAACGGCTCTGCCAAACAAAGCACACGGCCTTATCTTTAAAGTCCTTGAAATGGGTCTCACATGGATCATGACACGATGTGAGATTACGAGGAGCTAAGTGGCATTCAATCGTACTGAATCCACCTGAACTGACTACACGTGCAATTTCGGAAGCCTACATGGGAGGTCGACCTAGTCAAGGAAACCTAGTGGACGGCCGCGTTCGCATCCAAAAATACTTAGGTCAGGATAACGTTTCCGATAAAGTTACCTCTTGAAATGACAAGTGAAAATGTACCTAACGAGAATACGAGAGCTAGAGAGGACCAAGCATTCATCAGAAACGATAGGAACTGTGAAATTATTGTAAAGCAAAAGAAGTCTTTCGTCGGTTCTCTCAAATTTCTCGTACAGGTCCTCATGAAGGCCCGCCAGTGTACTTTGTCCCCAGCCTACTAATGGTACCGATCCTCTTCTGGCAATAAGCAACCAGATGACTGCTACACAGGGATGGATTTAAAGAGACGAACAAGAAAAGAGTTGACAACTCGTGGAGCGGGAATCCATCTACTGATCCTCTGAAAAGAAAGAACGCCGCCACCAATAAACAGTTTTCGCTGAGTCCTTTGCACCATTGAAATAGGAAGATAGATTACGATAAATACAAGATGTGAAAAACAACCGTCAGAAGTGCAGCAAGGTGAATCACCTTCCAATCGGCTGTTTGTAAAGGATCGATAAACAAACATGTCAAGAGCACTGAGATATTGTGAAGCCATATTCGTCCAAGACCTATCATGACCTGTCATGTGTTGTGAGTGAATCCCATCTGAATCAAATGTTTTTGCTTTTCAGAAGCACCAACATTTTACCCTCTTCGTAAAATTCAACCCTCCACGACGCAGAGGTTTACTGTCTGTTTACGAGCATTTATTCGTTGAACTGCATGATACGATACTGCTATTGACTAAACCGTCAACTTATTAAGGGATAGTGGCTGACAAGGACCGAACCTCAGGGCTGTCTGTTTGAAGTTCCCAGCGCCGTATAAAGCCTATCATGAAAAAAAGTCCCACCAGTTTTCGTTCGCACAAAGCAAACAGATTTGATCGGATATAGCTTAGATATGCTAATACCCTTTTACTTGCCTTTCATATCATAGCTGCGGTGCGCTTGGGGGGATAAACCAGACTTACGCGCCATAAAACCTCCAGGAGCGAAAGTCGGAGAGTCCACAATGTCTGGTGCGCAGTCTGAAGTATAGCAAGCAGGCGCAACGCTAGCTAGAAAAGGATAGGTGAGAAATAACGCCTGAAGGGGACGACAAACTAAGTATGGACAAACTTAGTTACACGAGGCACACTGAAGGACCGTAAAAATGGAAAATATAAAAACAAGTGACTGGATCATGGAGTTTTGATGAGAAATAAAATCCCATGACACGTGCTCCATATTTTCGCCTTGTTTGAAAAAATAGATAATCACAATTTGATGAAAAGGGTAAACAACTACTTATTTGATCACCTCAAAATTGCCAAAACGATGCTAATCAACGAACACCCAATGTATCGTTCTTGTCCATTTTTTCAAGCTACTCTATGCAAAGACCTTGGACTGATGCTTATTGTAGCCCAATTATACGATAAAATCAGTTCAAATTATTCGTTCAAGGAACCAATCTCCTCCATGAAGGTCCGCTAGCCCAAAATATAATTTTATCCATGCTGAAATCAACACCGCCGTGGAACTTAGTGAAGGAAACGATGTTGGCTCTGTGAGATTCTCAACGCGACCCTCAAATAAGATACCGCGAGAAACTGTCACAACCAGTTGTCGATCGAACACAATGAGGTAAACCTCAGTCGGAATTTTCTCAGGGGACCATAAATTAATGCTCCGAACGAGCGGCTACCAATGACATTCTAAAGTGAATGAAATGATAAGAGTAAGCGCTTCCGCTAGAACAGGCCGGTCCCACCATGCAGGTCAATGCGTCATCTTAAAAGAATGTGTACTCCAACAGTACTTTTCTTATCATAACAAGTTATCAGACCGGTAACATGTAAGCCAACTGTGTCTACTATCAATGGCATATTCACCGGTCCTCTAATCAATCATATGAGAAAAGCTTAAACATGTATTTCTACCTGCAGAAGCTCAGCCCAAAATTCGCTGACGTCTTAAGTCCGTGGGTCTTGTGCTCAAAGTGAATAGTTTCCACTTCCAAAGTGGCCCTCCCCAAATTACTGTCCAACGGAACCTGTCCAATTAAACTTGTGTAGCTGTCACTTGTATTTACATTTTCAGGGGAACGGGGATTTCGCATTTCAGTTTTACCGACTCCCACACGTAAATGGTCCATCATATGAATTTCCCTTGGGGTTTGATGTTACAATCTTACCAGTAATCTAAAAAAGCGTACAGGTGAACCGCGTGTAAAGCGCCAAATACACCTTATTAAGTCACAGAACCCTCGGATGGTAAAGTGCTCCTTGTTTGCTGTTGAATACAACTACTGAAAGCATGTAAACCTTAGATGCCAGATGGTGGAACGCACAGTAGGTTGGACTTCAGGAAGTGACTGGATCACAAAAGAAAGCCACTTCGGTATGACCCAAGAACCAGAAATTGAAGGTGCATGTTGTACGGCGTGAGAGAGTAACAGAAATCACCGGAACAGATAGCGGTTCAATTCCCAGCTCGAACTGCATCTCATCTCCAGATGAACTTTAGGTGAAACTTGTTATCAGGTTCGACATCACCTGGAAGTTTATTCTGTTGGTCGATGCGTGACCGATGTAAGTCACTTTCGTGCCATCCGTATCTTTTCAAATTGTCTTCTTGAGTGATTGAAGGTGCATCCACCCCAGGAACGCTTGCAATAGATCAGCACTAGATTCCCCCTCACACTAAATCTCCTCTCTTCTCTTCACGCTAAAGATGCAAATATAATTTGATAAACTTTGCGGTGTCAACACTGATGCAGCTGTATCTGATGATGGTGATCATATTGTTCATGTATACTACACGTTAATTGGTAAAAAAGCGAGGTTCGCCGGTCACGACGAAGGGGAAAATCTCTGGGTAAGTAGTAAAATTTAGTTTCAGTCGAATACAAACGATCTTTCACTTAGCACTTACAATCCAACTAAGCATGACATGCAAACAATATGTGGACACAATTGGCATACACATAATAATACTCCCACCCACAAACTTACCGCAAAGCCGAACAGGCGCTGCGGAACCTGAAAAGACAAGCAAAGAAACGATGCCCACATTAAATGAGAAAAACGGTGCGTACAAATCCATAGCGTCAAAGAATAATTTTCTAGCTGTAAGAGATTAAGATCATATTGTTATCATGAAAAATAATTGGCCTTGCGTTGACCGGTTTGTTGCTCCTATTCAGGTATGTCCAAATAGTACACGTTCCACTTTCATAACCATTCAAGCAATTACATATCTGGAGCATTCATCAGTTGAAGTGAAAATTTTCAGCAACCCCCGACAAAACTTAGAAAATCACCAAAATACAACTGATAGTTCATCGCCAAGTGCGAACGAACGGCAACTAAGCTTGTCCACCTCAGCAAAACGGCTCTATATCGAAAGGATATGATAGCTCTCTAGCGATTCGTCGTAGGAGTAGGGTAAACATAGTTCGATGCCATAATTTCCCTGCATTTTCGGTCATATAGGTGCTTATCGAGGTAATCAGCATGAAAAAGTCGTGCAAGACAACTTGTGCTGGGACACGACCAGATGAAAAGTCCATTTCATCCGTACAGATGAGAAACAGTCCACGCATTATAGTCACTCCGTCAAGAAACAGAGAGCCATATCCATCAAAGAAGAGGCTAATACTGTTTGCTTAGGACACAATAATGAATAAACCCGGAGAGATAGAGGAAACAATACGACCTATTCCCGGATGAGGTGAAACTAAAGCTATGTGAATCATGAAGAGTCAAAAAACCTCCATAAGAAACAACGATAAATATCCAGTCACAGGAACCGAGAGAGCGGTTTCTGAACAGAAAGATTCACGTCTTTCGAGTGAGGAATAGGACTTACGGGCCTTCTTCATGCGGGCAGCTAAGGCAAAAAAATATATCATTTAGAGAGTGCTAAACGCCTAGGAGTGCGAAGGTGTTCAGACGCACACAAAAAGTGATCAAATAATTTCACAAAGTGACTTGACATATCACCTATAAGTCCTTCTGACTTCAAAGAAAAATCTGGCAAAGTGTATTTTTGGATGCGAATGACAAAGGACACCATTTGCATAAGTTCCAATAAAAATTACGACCTATTCCTAAATGAACTGTTCACCTCCCGCCCTTTTTCGCCGCATGAAAGCCACAAATACTGAAGAAGCCACGAGGGCTAATATATCGCTAAGACGTCTACAACTAGATAGGAAGAAGCGGACAGAGGTACGTTTGACCAAGGCGAGGTGGACGGGGTGGCCTAAGTGGTTAGAGCGCGAATTTACTGACCGGAATATCCCTGGTTCGAACCCAACCTCTGCCTCTTGACTTCCCCTGTCTAGGCTTGGGCAACATGGCAGTATCCTAGCCCTCACGCCGCCTTCGTGTGGCATGGCAGCTAGGCACCGAAAGGGTGCTACAGCTGAACGATTCAAAACAATTCAAGGTTTGACCAATGGACCTAGGCGTATAGAACTCGCGCCCTGAGCTCTCAGAGAGCTCGACCTTTGATAAACGTTTCTAGACCAGTATACGCTAGTGCAGATGCACTAGGGTGAAGCTTAAAACAGAACTGGTGAGGGAGGCATCCCGGATAAAATTAGTCAGTGCAAAGTGGTGATGAAAGAATACTGGAGATGAAATAAGCACTATTTCAGGATAATATAAAATTTCGAATTCAGATTAACATCTGACCGAGCGGTAAATAGCCATAATTTGTTCCGAGTATAAACAATGTATACAGAAAAAAATATAGGTGAATCCGCCCCCTTCCTCTGCAGTCATCGACAGAGCAAGCAAGGTAGTGGATACCCAAATGAAGTATTTCAAAAGTGATACTGATTAGGACATCTGAACTGTAATTCGAATTGAAGCTTACCTCCAAACAACAATGGACTGAAATAAATAACGAGTGAATCACACTGATTAGCTGAAATCACGCAATGACTACCATATACGTTTGACTAGCGAAGGTTAAGAGTTAAGCATCTATATTAAGGGTAACTGTCTCGTATCTTACAAAAACAACAATAAGAAAAACAAAGATGTTGAGAAGCCGTTTCCTCCTGATCGGGAGAGTGAACGTGATGCGATGGACATGCGACTGACTCAAAGGTCTCGGATAACTAGTACTTAAAAGTATCCTTAATAGACTCGTATACCTCCCAAAAACTGGATAGTGTGTAGGAATCCAGAGGGCGCACCAAAAGTCACTGCATTTTTAGATGGAGCTACTCAGAGCTTTTCCAGTAGTCTAGTTTAAACGTCCGAAAAGAGATGCACATGTTGGGCTGAGATGATGGGCTGCACTTGTTTTAGGATATGGCGGGCGAAAAGTGCTGACTGGTTAGTAATCGAAGCTGGTGTTGACCACGTTCCAGTGATGATTTAACCTCTCCACAACGAGCCTGGTAGACAGTCACTACACTTGGTTAAACAGGCTTCGTGACCACACCTATTACCGTTGAATTCAAGCGGTATACTGCTAGCACGCAAAGGAACGTTTTGGAGTATCGCCAGGCATTGTAGATAGGAACATCGACAACCACCGTCAGCAGCAATGAACACCAGTATCGTATCAAAAGAGGCGGAGCTGTAACTGAGATGCAGAGGGAATTAACCGAGCAGTTCTGAGTATAATCATATTCATTGTGTCTGAGTGAGGACTATGAAAAGTCCTTAAGGAGAAAAACGGTTCTGATGAGTCTTGCGTCAACCTTGCCAACGATACGAGCAACCATTAATGTGAATGTCACCAAGAGACCACTGGCTGCACGTTTTGATGCATCTTTTGAAAACGATGACTAAGACTGAAAGCGTATCAGAGCTTAGCTACGTGAGGGAGAAGAAGCTGTGGCGGGAAACAGGCCAGAAATAATAGATATGACATATGAACATGGCTAGGGGAAACAGCGAGAATAATTTAGCTGTGGTACGCTTTCGAAGCATAGCCCTCCTGTAGCCAGTGAACAGCATAGCGGTTGAAATACTGACGTACCGCCCAAACCTAAAAGGATTTTCGCGTTGGACTGGAACCAGGATCATTAACTCAAGCGTTATTTACGACACCAGTGCCTGCACATTTTCAAGAGTAGTGAGTCACAAGTGGAAAGCCACTAGGACCTAACAAAATCGACTTTAAATCACGTAACACAGCGAGATGATGAATGTACTGATAAGGATGAAATTTCAAGGTGCAACTTACCGGTTGGTTAAATGTTCCGCTTCTGCGTATGGCTTTACAACAAATACCTCATCTAAAACGTTAGAAACAGGCATTAAAATTGTGAGTAGATTAAAAGCAGATTAACCTCGTGAAAAGAAACAATCCGCTGAGGGATAGATTGTTCTAAAGCCATGTGGCGGACCGGAAGCAATTGTGTCAAATCGCGTAAAAACTACAAGAAAATGTGAGATTTCAGTTCGTTTCTGAGAAAAACACTCAGTGTTCACAGAATATGCCTCTTGGTGTGCAACACAACCCATACCGAAAGAGTGAGTTGCAAAACCTCACGCGCACAGTCGTTGAAAAAGTAGGTTCGTCCCGAGAAATGCATTGCTATAACGACCATACTTAAAGCCCAAACCGCATAATGTGGTCGACATCTAGGTTAAATTTACGGGGATGGATATCAAATTTACATTCGAATTCCGAGGCAACTGTGGCAATCTGGGAAACCGCTAGAATGAAAAAGAGGCCAAACTGGATTTAGGAAACGAAGACAGGCTCAGGGTTCTATTTTGCATAAATGAAGTCGTGTGGATCTAGCATACCAAGGAGTGTACTACCACATCGATATGTAAGAACTTAGTGAAAGGTTCCAAGATTAGGGATCAATCACGTCAGTAATCTAAAAAACCGGCCCTGTCTTCCAAGACCCAACTTACTGCGCGTGACTGGATCCACACCGATAAACGAAGTGAGAGGACACACTACGTTGAACATACAGGAGACCTGTTCAATTTGCTTGCGAATGGAATCCTGTTCTTTGTTTCCCTCGGTCATTTGTAACCCCTTCAACTGGTCTCCTAACTGATTGAGTAAGCATTTCGCAGCCAGCCGATGCAACGGGGAATTTTTGTGGCATGGCAATAACCTGGTTCCGGCGGCAACGGATATCGGTATTCTTACAGTATGTTGATCACCCATGACGTCAAAACTCAACTCCAAATCTCCGGTGAGTTCTGTTGGTTCTGGGAAAAGAACGCAGACGGGAAAATATGCAACCCGAAACTTTACAAACAAACAAGGTGTGGGCAGTCAACATCAGTGTTGGTTATCGATGGACAAGACTCCAACTAGGACTCGATGAGTTGTGCCACCAAAGGCCGGTAAAGAATGCACATAACCAGGACAGGGCTACCGTAAACTGTGCGTAAAAATGATTGAAATCTTAAGCCCAATGCATACAGTAACAGCCGTAGCATCAATAACGCAAAACCACTGTTAAAGCTCGGTGTTTCCCTGCCGGCAACCACGATTACTGTAATAACTAATACGGAAAAAAAGATATAGAAACCAAGGGTCTAGCCTTATACAAGCACCCTATGGCGCTTGAACCTTTAAGAACTTTTGTGTGTGAAAAAGTGTGACCCTGCATAAGGACTATAGTCGTCACCTTATTGTGGTTTGCTTAAAATGGCAGCGAACCAGTGTGGAGTGAAACAACAACGACTATATAGTGTCATTCTAGGCGATTACATCACACGATGATAATGTAGTACCAACTTCTTCAGAGCAGTTTACGTTAATATCAATGAGCGATAGTTGAACGCTTAAATCAGCGAGCAATTAATTGCAAATTCAAACGTAGTGTGACAGCTTCAGTTAGGTAAACAGGATAGGACTCAGAGGCCATCACTACCTAAAAGACAGCCGGAAGAATAATCTGTACAATATACGGTTTCACTTCGAAACTGGTGGTAGTCGGTGGATTAACACCTTGCATCCGAATGATTGGCCGCACCAGACTGAATAACAATATTGCCAGGCCAAGTAATCGGTCATCCCCTCTCAATTATCGAAACGTCGGATTATGCCAAGTACAGCAATCCCTGGAGGAGTGCATTAAGCTTTATTGACGGAGAACCTCCAACTGAGGACTCTCCATGGGAGTGATCCATTAACGGATGGTATAGAGGTGCCGAACTCAATTAGTTAGCGCAAAAGAAAAGGTGACTTGACCATGCTTATCAATGCATACCTTTGACCAGCTTCGTGCTCTTTTGATTAGTTTTTTACTACAAGGGAAAATTTGTTCAACCTGGCTTTCTGTGGCCATGAGACGGTGTTCAAAACTCCCATGGATCCCGGGAAGAAGCTGTCAGCTCGTGTTTTGTCCCTACAAACATGCACAGGATACAAGGCTCTGGCGAATGATTCAGTGATAACCTTTCAGTACAAATGATGCTCTCATCTTATATTTGGATAAACAAATCATATCATACCCTCTCGATGAAAAAGATCGCAATATGACACTTCGGTCTTACATTGGTTGATAGATCACCAAAGCCCAGCATTGCCCAAGTGCAGATCATCAGGTGGGTGTAGTCCCGAGTTTCCCCATCCCCACCTTCTACCCGGACATCAACATGTACAAAAGCAGTGAAATATATATTTGCAAACTAAATTAATTCTGGTGACAAATTCAGCGGTAACAAGACGGTTTAAAAATGATGCCAACATCATCATCTGTGACTTTACCCCAGCACACGCGAGCTGCAAATCGAATGTCGTCTCGATCGATAGACAGGTAGTCCGAATAGTGGAGTAGGTAATCAATTATGTACAACTAACGCAGTTGAGTTTGAAACAACATGAATAACGTGTGGAGCAGAAGGACTGTTCTCGAGGGTTAGTTTTTCACTGCAAATAATTCCGTTTACCTACTACCACAAGCACAACCGTTTCAGCTAAGCTTTTTCATCATCTCAATGATCCCATTTGTCAGAGGCGAGGCCCATGTACAGAGACGATTTATGATACTCCCCACGAACCGAGACGCAGGCTTATCAAAGTATCCGACGGGTCATAAACTACTTGAGTTTGAATAACTGGTTGTACAACAGTTCACTAAAGATGTTATGATCTATCATTGTACAATATTCAGAGGTTCAAACCGGCCGGTCAATTATACGCCGATTCAGCATCTATAATAGTTTAAGATACAAGGGAAGAAACGAACAGTGAAATTGGACCTAATTATATATGCTCACTCTCAGGAGGGTCACTTGCGATGCAAAAAACGAGAAGTTAACCTTCCCAATGCAGGGCATTCCTTCGAAGTTAAGATCTGCATCAAATGCATACAAACTCTCGATCACATCAGACAGAATAACAATCCTGCCAGGAGGTGCAGCAACTGATGAGGGCGGCTCTTGGTCACTAAAAAAATCGTTCAGCTGTAGCACCCTTTCGGTGCCTAACTGCCACGCCACCCGAAGGTTGCACGAGGGCTGAGATACTGCCAGGTTGCCCAAGCCTGGACATGGGAAGTCGAGAGGCAGAGGTTGGGTTCGAACCACGGACCTTCCGGTCAGGGAATTCGCGCTCTAACCACTTGGTCTGTCTCGCCCCATCGGTCACTAAACTGTTGGGTTCTTTTTACGAACAGTAATTCCCTTGAAGGTCGCATCGGCAGACGAGGACTGTGCTCCTTCCTCGGGGACTGTGGCTGCCGCGGAATGTCAGAGTGGTCTGTTTAGACAGCTTTCACTTAGAAGTTTGGACCGAAAATGCAGCAAAACCAATTGCTCAGTTGCCTGTCGAATGTATACAAGCTTATTCGTTAGGTTCTACCAGATAGAAATAATTCTGTCGAATCTAGCCTTCTCCAACGATTTAGGAATGTGCGGAAAACTTTGAAGACCTGAACAAACCACCTGCGTGGGCGACCGGAGTTGAGTCAACCTGAAACAGGTCATTGACTGCTACGGCAGCCGACTGGTAAACAACTTTGCTACAGCGGTGAGTCGATCAACTAAGTACGGACAACCACGTTAGTTGAAAACAAATAACGTGTCGGTTCCGTTTTTACAAAAACACGTATCAGTGAGACACTTCAGGTTACAACAGCCAAACGGTCGTCACAAATTTCTCACCACATCATTGATAAAAAACATCCAGTAGTTGCTTTTCTTATCAATGTTTCGTTAGATTTATGTGTGGGCGTTCCAATGCGACAGGCCACTGACTGGTGAAACACAAGCAAAAGCATAGTCATGATGACACACGTATCACTCGACGTGCTGCGATGTCGTCTCATCAAGGTATTTCAGTCAAACATTAACCGATGGACCCATTTGCATAAAAATGCGTTCAGAAATTGATCAGGAATAGCTCAAACCTCTCAACCCACGCCCTCGCTCGGTTTACACAGCTTATCATCACTGCAGCCCACACGATTCTCGTAATTATATCTTATAGTGTAAGAAACAAATCTGATCTGCACAAATAACAACCATGGACGAAAGTAACCGACAAGGAAATGGATGCAGTTTGGCAGTTGGTCACAACCACGTGTTTCAGATGTGTATAGCGGGCAAATCGGGAGCAGTCGCTTTCAGGGGACGATTTAAATAAGTTCCCCCAACTTGCTTGATCTTTACACCAGCTAACGCCCCCGATAATCACGGCAATACGAATGAGACAGAGGGCGATATACTGACTATCGCACGGTATCGACCAGCCTCAGGTTGCACCGACAGTTCATCTCAGTTTGACAACCATAAGCTATGTAAGCATGCACGGTCAGTGGCTTATTGCAGCTGGTGGTGTAGGACAGAGAGGGCTACAGAGTAAAAATAAAAGAGGACTTCGGGTTAAAGAATAAGAACAGGATAAAAGAAACAAGTGCCACTGGTAGCATGACGCCGCCAAGCCAGCGAGTACCTTCAACCTCCATTCAGGTGGGTCTCCAACCTCGCGGGGAACAAGCACCAGTGAAACCAGAACCCTTCGATTTTAACGCACAGCTCGCAGATTAGGCGCTGGCCTTGTAGTAGTTTGCAGTCGAAAGCTGCTTCGTCAGACAACACGGTGAGAGAGCCGATCACCTGCCATAATGCTCCAGCTAGCATCATCGGTGCATCCGAACGACAGCTGATTTGTTAGCAAAAAACATTCGTTGCACTTCAGCATTCCTAATTCGACGTTCCAATGATACACGTGCAACGTTTTTAAGGCACCGATAGTCAAAGACAAGCAGACTTCTACCTTCAACGCACAGCGGCCAAGCTTCACAACCGTAAACCAACACTAGACACACTGTCGCATCGTAGACCCAGTCTTTCACCGACAGGTTAACAACACGTTGACTTCAGCGGCGTCCAAACTGAAGGAAAGCAGAACGGGCCTTGGAAATCCTAATATTCAATTCACCAGCACAGAAGCCTTCCGAATTGATTCAACTAACCAGGTTGCTAAATCTGTCCAGTAAACTTTAGTGGTTCCGACGCCATGACCAGCTATGATGGTACACTCGTCAAACCATGCAGTCGCACTTCGCACATTGAAGGTGCAAGGCCTTACATTAGATCATTCAGTGTCTTCTGCACCTAGATCGAATGTGAAACATGCAGCGCGATCTCGTTCGCATAGTCCAAGACTTTAAGGTTTCCTAGGGGAACAGGCTTTATACCAGAAGCAGGACATATGGTGAACGCTCCTTCGATAATTAATTCAATTAGGAAGGTAAAATAATGGAAAATTCGACGGACACTACCCTCGATGATAAACTCCGAAGAATACCCCCGTAGACTATCACACGCTCACAGGTAGTGGACTACAAAGGTTGGGAAACGTGTTCGTGTTCGGCAGAGACCTGAAAGAGGCCCCACCACAAGGCAGTACCTGTTGCCTTCAGATAAAAGAAGGCAACAACTACTCGGCTCCCATGTGTGGTGGAGCTCATGCTGTACTAAGGTAAAGATATAGTCAATTCATCTCATGAACTGACCGGAACCCCGCTAATTTTCAACGAATCTTCTATCACGGGTGCACGTAAGCCTGCGTAACAAGATACACGTTACCGAATTAGAAACAAGGGTTACTAAACTGACAACCTGCTGAATCTCATCCACAATCACATCCAGATCCAACACTTTGAAAACAGGAATAATATTATATAACTTCTATTACTCTGGCGGTCCATCCGCCCTCCATATCCTCCGTATGAATCTTATCAGAGCATGAATGAGTCTCTCTCCTCCATCCCTGAACAAGACAGAGGAAGACAGTCAGGACCGTGTGAACCGTTTCTCTCCAAGAGTGTGAGTTCGTTTATGACTTAAACTTCTGTTGGTGTCAAGCAGTTAATGTCTGATTTTCTAACGGATGTTGCCTTGATCGTTAGGCTGGGCACTTCAGGCCAGCTGAACGGTGGTTCAGTATTTCACCCATCGGAACGGGTGGTGAAATTTAAAATGACTATTTGAGCTGTTTCTCTTTGTAATGAATTCATCAACCGACAGCCTTTTCCGTCCGGTGTTGAGGATAAGTGAGAGGAGTTCACCTATTCCCAATTACAGTCAAATTTTTCATTCATTGGGCTTTCTTTAACTATCACGTCCCCCGGGCATTCTTGAGATTTCGAGTGAGGCGTCACTCTGGAGAGTATCGTCATCCCGGTGGGACGGCCTTCCTCATTTTGATCATGGATGTCGATTATCGTGAGATTCAACCTGAACAGTCCTGCAGCCTCGTTAAGCCAACACTAAATTTCATGACAACTTTGATGATGTAGAAACATCCGTCATAACGTGAGACAAGGGCTCGCCATCTGGGTTAAATTATCTACATATGTCAGTTCTGAATCACAATGGATACAAGTGATCAGAATGGGAGCTAGGAACTGAGTTAAAGGAGGATCGAACCCGGGTCACCTAGGGGGTAATCCACGACCCTATCCACTTAACCACCGGAGCCTTGAAACTAACGTTCAAAAGTGTGCCCCAAACATCCCGCTTGTTCTAGGACGGGAAGTTGATCGTAAATTATATTCCGCTACGTCTTCTGCTCAATTTCCACTCTTTACCAAGAGAATACAGTTGCATAAAAGCAAAAGTCAGCCGATGAGAATAAACCACCCAATAAATTTTTTCTCCGATATCGTTTAGCGGATTATCGGTTCATTTTTCAGAAGTCTCTGTTATTAGCTTGCGAAAGGAGGCAGGAGTGGTGCTTGACGGTTATTATGACGGATAGATAAATGTTCCCTTGGCCGTCCACTTGGAAGAAGTCATCAAAAACAACTGGACCTTAAGCATATTTTCATCGGTGGAATTTACTCATCAAGTATGAATTAAGGTCGCGTTTAGAACCTAAGCCGTGGCAGTAAGAATGCTGCCAACTAGCATAACCGATTAAATCATGAAACTGCTGCACGAATTTCGTTGCTCTGCTAAACTGGAGACCGCCTGCTGATCTATCGCCTGGAAACATGGGAGCTACGGATGGCATTTTCATCATACCCTCCAGGAGCTGGCTTGTCTCTCCAGAGGATTTGGCGACACTAAAGCAGGGTACAATTAAGTAGGATAAAATGACAACTACCATGATCTACCAAAAGAACCACAACAGGATAATCGGCCACCCAGGATATCTATGCAGTGTACTGCTGTCATTCAGCCAGAAGAAAACATGACAGCTGGTGTACGGTCATGTTGTCCACGCCAGGGACAATCGTGAAGACAGGATCGGATTCAAATCACGGCTATCGGGGAAGACAGCTTTTTGAGTTACCAGCTTAATTGTCTCGAGCTGCGGATCGGGGGAGCTACCAACGGAGTTGACATATGTGGGAGCGTCCAAGAGCAACGCACACCATGCGAAAAGTTCTCTGAATGAAGGGACACTTGAAAAAGTAAACTAGTTGACCGCCTAACATCCATCGTGAAAATAAGTGGCGATGGGATGATAACAACGGCTGACCTGAAGACAGTGATCAAAATCAGGAACATCAAGTTAGAGACTGAGTGAAGACTTAGAGTTTGCTTGGAACAGCACACATGGCGCAGGTTCTAATCACTGCAATAGTTTACACGTACTTGATGTATCAAGATATAATTGGGTATTCCGAAAGTCATGCACACTAAAAACTTAGGGCAACACTTGTGCAGTATATCATGAACGAGAAATTGAAATGTCTCATTAGCAAACATGTAATTTGCAAACGAGTGTAATTAACAAAGAGGTTCAGCTTCATGAACGAGGAACTGAAGTCGATAACATCACCTCAACAGTGCCATCAAAATTGAATGCTAGTACTTCATTGCCGCTTATATACACCAATGTAGAGAGGGAGAGGAACACTCACTGTTTCGATGTAACCGCACCTTTGAAACCCACAAGACAAGTAGTTTAAAAAACTAATTACAAGCCAACTTTTTCAGCGTTTCAAGCTACCAATGTGTATTCGACCTTGTTTCGTGTGCCACTCCGTAAGTCAGCACTGGGACCGACAGTTTTCATTGTAATATCATCCAAAGACTAACAAAGGAAAACACAAATATGCTCTACATAGATGAGCAGTCACAACCTGATTTAGAGCTGTTACTCACCCCGGCCCAACACACAAGTTATCGGTGACAAGCGGGGAGAGCAACTGTTACTGGAAGCAAGCTATGCTTCCATAACCAAAAGTCTTCCCGGCGCAGTCCTCACACCAGTTCCTTTAAATAGGATAATCTTAGTAAGATCAACCTATTCGAATAAATTGTCCCACAAAAGTTAAACATGCTCATTTAAAAAAAAATTTCAAAAAGCGCATGGCTACAGCTCACCTCCATTAAAGAACGCGAACATGGTTGAGAAACACCCAGAGAATATCGCTGGAGGCGTCGTTGGAACCGCAACAATCTCTGGTGTAGTAAGTTTACAGTCAGCACCTTTCAGTTGTAAATTCCAGTGCAGTTTAGTAGGGAGTGCACGTGGTTCAAGGGCGCTTTTCAGGACTTTCATTACAGCTCCCCTTAGTTGTGACCTAGAAATGGACAGGGACGTAGATGTATGGGTTAATTAAGCGAAGAGGTGCGCAGTACTGTCTATGTACAAAGTCACCAAATGAAGACATGAATATAGCAAGCATTTGTCACTATGTAACAAGCATTGAGATGAGACTATCTCCCGCGAAAAAATGAAGTAGATACGATCATCAATCATAGGCAACAGCAGATAAGTTTAGCTTAAACAGAAAAGCTAGAGAACATAGGTATGCGGTCATCGTGGTTGGTCTGTTTGCAATTACCATCCCACGTCCTGTTCAGAACCAAATTTGTAATAGTCAACGACTAATTGTCTCTTCGTGACGGTTCAGTACGCAGCCGTGGCTTTAACTGATAATATATCCTAGTAAACAAGAACTATGAACAAGACAAACCAATCGTGAATATGGAATTTATGACTGCAGGCCATATAGTAGGAAGACACCTACTCATCACGGATGAAGGTAGCCAAACCGCGACCTGCACGTGCGACCGATGAGACCAGATAGGTGCTGGCGCCATGTCCAATGCCGATTGAAAATAAACGCGCCTTGTGTATGTTGGACTGCACCAATCCAACTACCTGAAATAAGGAGAAGAATCCATTTGATGTCATCGTTATTCGTTTTGAGTTCATATTGTAGTGTTTCTGAGCCGATTATTCAATCATTCAGTTCGCCTATGATTTTCACCTTTAATGCGTGTCTCTGATCATCAGTGGACTAAAGACTATCCAACGGAAGGCGACCTTCTGTCGGATTGCTTAGAAAACTTTAGAAGCATATGGTGGTGACCGATCAGTATAGTGTACGCGAAATTTTGCGGAGAGGGACAACAGAAATCAGCTACCATTTTCAGCTCACTCTCAGGTGTGAAATACAGCATTAGGACAAACTCGATAAGCAGAAAACCGATAAGATTTTAATGGACACAGTTATACACGGAACGGTGAGACGTACACTGACGCTGTCGGAGTTTCATACCAAATCTGAAACGATTGAAGGACCGAATGTGAAATGGCCGGGTAAACTACCTCCGAAAAAGGCATGCACACTCGAAACATCTCATGTTTATCAGATCCTAGCTGCTTAGGTCACTGCGTCCGATCCCAGTGAGAACTAAGTCGAGAAAGATAACACCATGTCATTCCAAACTCCAACAGTACACTGAAACTCAAGCCTTCAAATTTGGAACCTCAATTGGTGTCGCACGCACGCTAGAAGTACCGGCCCATCAGCCTAACAGAAGCAAGATAAAAGTCTACCACGTGAAAAAAAGCTCAGTAAAGTCGTTTAATGTTGCACAACTTTTTTGAATAGGCATCCTGCTGTTCGAATAACAACCGTTCGTCGAAACATCAGGACAGTTCGTTAAGACAAACTAAAAGTACCGTTGTAAGTGAGAAACCAGAATGGGTGACCTTTGAACAAAGGAATGACAGATATAGTGTGCATTTGAACGGGCACAGAAACTTCAAGTTTTCGGAGGCAGGTATCCAAAAACTGTGAATGCGTGTGTGAGAACGTGGTTGGCACATCACGCACAAATAGGTAGCGATAGCCCCTGACTGGGTTAGATAAGACGAGTTGATAAACAACTTTGCGACTTGTTTTAACCAGCTGAGCACTGAGACAACCTTCAGTTCGCCAAACTCCTTCAGTTTCATGGGACCGTGAACCTTCAAGTGGGTAACATACTGCACGATTCGGCTAGTGATAATCGACACCAATTCACATCTTGAACGCCTTGCGAGTTATAGATGAGCCAGTCTTTAACTGCTTGACATTACCAGATCAAATAACCAAGCGCGAGCGATACGGACTACGTTGGAAACATTAATTATGGCAATTGTGAAAGTTTGGTCCAGAAACTCGTTCCCAACTGTTAAATTCAGATAAAATGGGAGTAACTTAAACGACATCGAAAACTCACCAAGTACAGGTGGTGACTAAAAAACACTTGGCATGCGGTGTGACTGAGAAAAGTCAAAGCGCACACGCAACACGATGCGTGCCCATAGAAAATAAGAGCAGTCCGATCGTTTGTTAGAATACTCAGCAGATGCCTGACAGTAACTCTCAAACACGTTTCGGTGCACAAAGAATTGCAAAAGTGAACACAAAAGTGAGCATGGGTGTCCGAAAGCCGAGACATATGGTCAAGCCGTTTCACTGATCAGGAAAGATGATCGGTAATGCAGGATGCACCTTGGGAAAGCAAATGCGGAAAAACCTTAAACCGCGTAATTCACGTTTAAGGTGACTAGACCTGCAGTTGGCCGTTGAAGTACCGAATTACACGCATGTTGGTGTAGCCAAACGCGCGGAGCTCAATTGCTGAGTGGTAGAACATCCTTAGTCCAAAAAGATCGGTTTTCAAATCCATAGGGTAGCACTGTCTAAACTGAGGTACCGTAACTCGCCCCTTCAGAACAGGACTAACGTCATTCTACAGATGCTTTAATAGTATAGAAGCTGTCTTCCTCTTCGTGATATGACTTACATCTCCGAAGCTCAAAGGCGTCAAGCACTTTACAAACTCAATGGCTTCAAGGCAAACCGCGTAAAGCCCTGATCACCCCCAAACTCGAAGGCATAATCCAAACTGTTCATGTCACTGAATACGCCGTGATTTATGTCAGTAGGGGCAACTTGAAAGACGTCATCCATTATGTTTGATGGGGAGAGTGGAGAATAGCTCAGCCGTGACACCATTCCGGTGTCTAGCTGTCATATCACATGAAGGAAGCATGAGGGTTGGGATACTGTCAAGTGTCCAAGCCTAGATGGAAGCAGTCGGGATACCTCTGAACCATGGACCATACAATCAGGCTATATTGAGCCTCCGTAGTGTACCCTACATGATTGTGCGTTTATTCACAACCGCAGTCGATAATTCACAGCATCTTCGGAATGTTGACGAATGTGAAGGGTAGACCGCTTTTGAGCAGGCAAAAGGATGCCTCGTCTACGAGTCCAAGGCAATACGAATAATTCAGGACTATGAATATATTCGGCTGTTTGTCCGCAAATTCCTGTCAACACAACCACGTGCATTGCGAAAACCAGCTTTTTCTCTATGGCTCAGAAATCCGCATGTTGGAGACAGCCTGTAAATGGGGGAAATCATCATAATCCTCAACTGATATCCTACCCGTGATTGGTTGTTGATCAGGTGGCTGGTGTTCTGTTGGGCGAGCTTGGTAATCATCAGTGCTCACCCAACTGCGCACTGATGATGTCTCCTCGTATGGTGATGAAGCTTTGCAAGTCAAGTGCCAAGCTCAGTGTACAGATCAACAGCCACCTGATCAACGACCAATAAACTGCCCCGAGCTACCAATATTTCAACACGTTCTACCCGTTATTCACAATGCTCACTAGCAACTCGTGGCTGAAAAATAAAGTTTTCAAACTACTACACAGGAGGTCGCGGTATAGAAATTCCCTGGAGTTTCGTGGGATGTACACTACTAATGATTTCCAGTAAGGATAAAACAACTACACAGTGATTTTCGACTCTTCAGCATAGATTGATTTCACCTACAGGACAAGATTTTCTTCGGTATCAAACAGTTCGAGGGTTCACTGGAGTTATAGGGGGGTGGACCAAACTTCCGCCACAGGCTCTTGTGCCGAGATCTTCGAAAACAGGTGCGTCACTTGATCACATAGCACCTTACCCGCGTTGGTTAATAGCTCCCCTTTCGTTGATTCCTTGAAACCCTCGAGCTGGAAAACAGCTTCACAGATTTCTTATCGATCAGATGGATGAAAGAAACAGACCACGCAGTACAATTAATGGGTGATGTCAGCAGACCATGAGATATTTGGAAGCTGAGGTAACCGACACTGACAGTCAAACACAGAAAACTCGTCGGGTTCACGAATGGTTCCCACAACGTGCATAGGTCGAAACTCGGGAGGCGACAGCTGCGCCCCGTGGCCCATACAAGCTCAAATGCTTTCTCCTGTACACCTCAAAATGTAGGTCCCTATTTCCAAACTCTCGACTACGGTCTGACTTACCGTCGTGCGACACACTTGTTCGGTGCAAATCCAGAAATTCTATGGAAGCTGCATCAATATATGGTTATTTCTTTCAAATTAATGTAGGACGTGCTTTGAGGATATCCGGTGCTTGTCCATGAATCACAGAGCTGAATCTCATGGGAATACGTTAGAATTTTTCTGATGCCATAGGCCGCATCAAATTGGAAGCATCGGATCATTGTAGTAGACTGAAACAGTGGCCACAGAAATTCAGTTTGATCTTAATACAAACCAATATGTGGTCACAATCCATGTAACTGTTCCAACATGAACGATGATCTTGTAAGAAATTACGCCACCAACAACTGACTGTGATGTGATCGGTCTAAGTCTAGCCCCGAGAACTGGATGGTGGACACCGGGTTGCCAGATACCGTCGAAGACGTTGAAAATTCAGGCTGACTGTAACAACTGGCGACCCGTTCATATGCACATGAACCAACTACCGTTATCAATTCTCGCTGGGTGGTAACCATGAGGGCCATACAGGTAACTTTCACAATGGCATGAGCGGTCGACGTTGGCATTCAAATCTCCAACGAGAATCCGACGACCGCCGGAGAAGCGCATGAAGATGGATGTCACTCGTATTTAACCGAATCAACATTGTAGCCGATCGAAATGACCGGGGGACAACTTCTGGAAGCAGGATATCTATTCATCCTGGGAAATGCCGCGTACCCGAGAGCATAAAACTCGCCATTACAACGTACTTTTACAAGTGGCACCGATTCCCGCTGTTTAGCTTGCTTCCCGCAGCCACAAGGCTGCCAAGTATATAGGAGACTGGGTTGAAAGCTGATGCTGGAGTTCGAGGACCGATATTCTAAGAGGGGAACTTCACTGAAACAACAAACGTTAATGGTCACTTCCGTTGGAGTAATCCTTGGTGTTGTCCAGTTCTACTCAGAATACGAGTGAAGTAGATACAGAGTGAAGTGGTTACGAGCAAAGGAAGAACTACCTTATGAGTACATGTTTGATAAGAACGGAGAGATCAAGCTCGAAAGCAATGGCAGTTGAGATAGCTCAGTGGTTAGTGCAGTGACTTCAGAAACCGTGGCTCTAAACCACACCTGTTATTTCGATGGCTTCTGTCTACGCCTGGACAGGTCGCACGGTAGCTGCGCATCGAGGCTGGCGTTTTCGTAACTTTACTAGCGTTGATAAAACACTTCTCTCGGGAGAAAAGAAACAGCTCCTTGTCTGGATCGCTATTGTTAGTGAACGAATGACAGTCTTCATTATGTATTTCCATACTCTACCATGTGGGATAATTTCCGGGTGCCAACAACGGACAGGACTTAAAAGACCTCATCCGCGGTATTGGACAGACGGTATGGCCTAGCAGACAGCAGGGCGACGCATGCCATCGAATGACCGAGGTTCATCCATGGGCTCAGGGGTTCATCCATGAATGGAGAAAAGAAGTTCAGATTACTCAGTGCACTCCAAACATCCATCGACGGGAAGCATCTTTTCTGATCTGTGCATTAATGCGAGTACACAGGTGGGAGATGCGAGCACCCCAAACGAGATTCGTTAGAGGTACAAGCTCAACGTGTAACTAAATACTCCAGCAGACAGTCAACGCTCTGTCACCCCGGTCAAGTCCCCGGACTCTTGTATTGCCCTTCACTTTGGCGAAAACAGTGTAACGAGATGGGAGTGAATGAGCTCTTCTCAGTAGACGCTACGCATGTTTCTTGGTGGTGTTACGATATGTGCTGATAATTCTAAGACATCGCTACCATTTTGGGATAGCTGGAAAGATCGGTCCCGTGACCGCCAGGAGAAGCCAAAAAACTTCAAGTGCCTGAGATGACATATATGGATGACTGATAAGGGTAATCATGGGGAAAAGACCCTAAAGCAGCTGCCCAAAAAAAACTACACTTCAAGAGTCAAACCGGTGGAATAGGTAGATTTTTCGGACCAACAACATATAGCTGCGAACAATGGGTCATGTGACCTACCTCTCTACGCGCATTTTTGTGTAGGTTGGAAAAACGATAATCAAGTGGGGGTAAAAAAAAATTCAAAAACGGTCATACATCCATGATTCATTTTGTTTCATACAATCCCAAAGTAGCAGCCAGAATCACCCACACCATCAGAATTGCCTGAAAAGCTTACGCAAACGGAAAAACCTCCGTGACAGGACGAACCGAAATTGAAAAGCACTTGTAAAAATGGATAGAGGCTAAAGATTTTGCGGTTGGGGGGAAGGTAGCAGCTCCTTGAATAAGAAACTGGTGAATCGATAGGGTGCAAAGAAATCTTAAACACTTGACTGACTCACTTCATCTGCGTTGGTCACATCACCGTCGGTGAGGAAAATGATCTGCCGGTACCATCCGACCCCAGATAGTGGTGAATCGTAGGCGGTTTTTAAAGCAGGAAGAACCTCTGTACCACCCATATCAGCATCCATGGCTTCCTGGTATTGTAATCCCCTCGCAAGCGTTTCTTCATTATACTCCATTGCCCTGAGAACATGCAGTAAAAACGCACTAAGTACGGCCAAATAGATGTAAGGCTGCAGAGACTGAACACACTGGGTGATGGGCTAGGAAGATGGTATCCACTGGTCGTCGCAGGCTGGCAACGATTTGTTAGCGATTTACGTGGTTGACTGTTGCCTATCAGCTACATGTTTATACAAAAAATAAGTGTCTACATAAATCAACTAACAGCGTGTTGGATGCTCACAAGAACTGCTGTTGTCAAAAGTGGGTATTCGAGACAGAGAACTCAATTTTGTGATTATAAGTCCTCGAAGTAGTTTAAAAACGAGGAAGAAACAAATGAACGAGTAAAAGTTACTGTTTTCTGACTGTCTTAAGCAACGGTCATCTCAGTCTGTTGGTGGAGCACGCATCTGGTAAGACAATAATGGTTTGACGCTGCTGCCAAGCTTCTGCCTCTTCGCTCACACCATTTGTACAGCAACTTTTCGTTTCATAATTACTGACTGACGTAGTCAGTGAGGGGTACAAGCCCAACTCTTCTGCATGAAGGTTGTCAATCGCGTACAAGGGGAAAAACATATGAGCGTTGAAAAATAAACGTGAAACAATGGAAGGACGATAGAAAACAGTACATACTCTGGAAATAATGCGGCGTGTGTGCTTCCGAAACCAATAATTTGAAAGCGGCATCCCGGTGGGAGACTTTTTAACAAAAGCAGTAGCGATTCTGAAGCACGCCGAATGGATTCACCTTGCATGCTGCCTGTTTTAAAAAGGAATTGTAAAGTGAGAAAGGCTGACTAAAGCTTATGTGAGGCAACGGGAAAGTGACATTGAAGAATGGTTTCGCAGTGATTAAACCACTGCGACTAATTATAACCATACTCTTATACGTACAGATAAGCATTGCTCCGCGAAAGTTATCTATCATGAGCTTTCTAACTCACTAGTTTGCAAGACATCGTCGACAACAACTACCACGATAATCGACAGCATAACACCGGTGCTTAACACTGATCATTCGCTGTCTTGAAACCATGATTTAGCTGAAAGCCTTATTGTGAAGGAAAGAATAAAAGTACTGCCAGTAAATCACAACCATTCCGAGGTGCCTACACCACCAGACACACATTGGACGATCTGGACAGAAAGTGACAAGAACGCTACTGACATTGACAGGCAGTCACATCTTGCAGTGTCTTCAACCAGGTGCAGTGGGGATCACGCGGTCCTCATTCTGGAAGGCGAGTAGCACCGAAACCACCAAGACTTTTCGTAATCTATTTCACAACCCTTTGCTGGATCAAAAGTTGGCCACCTTTCTGCCTCTGCCACTCTAAGTTGGGCACGGGAAACAACATTATTTTCGGCAAACGATGGTTCGGTATGCGCGATAATGGAATAACCAACGAAGCTTCTGGTGCCGGACTCATTATACAATGGAAGTCCCAACTACACAACCAAAAACACGTTTACTAACTGCCTTCTTACGGATTCTTCGACACCTACCGAGAAACGCCTGCGACTTCTCTTCGAAAACGAGAACGATATCGTCTGCGTATTCCAGATTAACAAGGTTTTCGTCAGCAGCTATTTGAACAACAGGGTTTTGAAGGCCTTCTAGCGTCTGTCTCATTATATCACTGATTAAGAAACTGAATTGGAATATAGAAAGTTATCAATCCAGACGGATACCGCTTTGTGTACTGAAGCTTTTGGAGAGCTCTCCGCATACTCTGACACCTTCAGAAGTCTGAGAATACACAGAACTTATCATATTCACGAAATTCTGGGGCATCCCTTGATGGGTAAGCGTGTTAAGGAGAACAGGTAGTCAGCTGAGTCAAATGCGCCTTGGAAGCATAAAAGTTAACAATATAAACGTACATATTCTTAGCAATGATCGAATGTAGTGCAGTGTAGTGCACACATAATACACAAGTTTGAAGAAATGTTGCTCCGGCAATTAGGTGTTGCTCTGGGTTCTCCGCTAGTCCCACTCCTTGTTGACCAGTTTATGGGACGCCTTGGGAACCACCAACTCCGCTTAAGCATGGAGAAAATGCACTCCGGGGGGATATTCAGACACATTTGTTGCTACTGCGAACTAGCAGGAACCCATTTAGCTAACCTCTCATCCTTACCGCTATTACACACCCATTACAGTTCCTGGGCCGATTAATCACTATGAGTCTGTAGAGCAGAAAATGTTATTCTCTTGATGCAAAAATGGCCTTGGCTGCTACTTTTTCATTAACACGGACTTGAAAAAACTGGTTCCATATCTCTGGGCCTTAGACGTTAGCAGTCTTCCAAATCCAGACCTGGGTGAATTCAAGTAAACGTTGTGGCTTGGCATCTGCAAGACTAGAATGGAGGATAGACGGTGTCTTAAACTATTCTGGCGTGTCAGTCAACTCAATATCTGGAGCGAACTCACCAAACCAAATTTAGGAAAAAGGATTGGTTCCGTGAACAGTAGGGGCATTCGCCAATTCTCATCCACGTGACCACCAGAATGTCATCCTCAAGCGTGCCTCGATCAGCAAACAGGCATCATACCAACCTGGTATTTTAAGCATCCTTTCTTTATGAAGCGTTTCCCATCCTAGATAAGCACATGACAGTTTCCAGTTGACCAAAGTGAGCTTAAACCTACCCCCGTGAGTCCCCCTTCTCCTTCGGTTCTGGGGGCGAGTGTCAAAAACTGCGACGCCCTCAACAGGCAGACACTTGTCCAGTTTTGATTAATCGTCAGGCTCATTGTTAGACCCTGGTTTGTGGTACTAATATCTTTCGTTTGAGGCGCTCCTAGTCCCCCAAACTGTCATACACAATCCCCACACATAACAAATACCATAGTAATAATACATACACTCGCACATAACGTATGTTAAAACCTCTGAGTATCTAAGACTGACTTTTTTTACCAAATCGGGTGCAAGCTCCTATCGATCATACATTCGTCGCATATCGATCGGCAAATGTACATCGGAAAGATACAGAGAGTGACAAAGCCATACATTCATGTGGCAAAAATAATCGTCTCGTGATCTAACTAGACCGGATAATGGAGATGGCTGAATGATCCAAGAATTTGTCGTAGGAACTGTCTCAGTACACGACTCAGCGTACTCTGTTACAGCGCACCACCCAAGTGCACCAGTGATTGATCATACTCAGTAATCGTAGTGACATCTGAGCTTCACCATACCTCGAGAATCAATCGTTGCCGATCCACTTATCACAAAAACCCGCTGTGGCTTGAAAGTAAATGATGGATCCATCATCGAGTTTACAGAATTTACATTTTGAAAGAATGCATATTCTTATCGCATCCTGAAGAAAAACTAATGATTGAAGTCATCTTAAGTTGCCTCAGACAGATGAACGGAACAGGCGTTATCCAGGCGCAAAACTAACTTTTGTCTCCAGTGTTGTATTGCTTCCCGAAATAGAGCTATGTCGGGGAAGCACAAAGCAAGTTAAGGAAAACTTCATTCACGTACTTCATCCATGAGATATAACTTGGTCCCAGTTGCAAACACCTACTGCAGGTGGGAGTACTAAAGATCTACACATACGAGTATTGAACTAGACTACAGTGACCCACCTGAGCGATCCACTACAAATATCAATTCCGTCCTCTGCTCCTGTTCACCAGCCACTGCACTCAGATCCGGCATGAACTGGGCCATGATACAGTGGCGTAGATGAGGTGAAAACTGATCATTGGCGCTGGGTTCAATCGCCGCAAACGAATTAAGAGGGTTGGCAAGCTCAATCACCATCTGCAAATCATGGTCCGGTTTGAAACCGGATGCAAGAACCACCTATGAAAGAGAGCGAAATACGGGCATCAAGTGAAGATTTAGCAGGAAAACCCACAGTAACTGATGCATTGAATGTATTAGTGTCCCTGAGGTCTATTCAATGAAAAGAACAAAACCAAACACCTTTGAATAAAGCGAACAGGCCTGTCATATACGTCTATTGTGGACAAAACGCCTTCCACATACATAACTCCAAAAGACAGTCTGGCGACACCAGTAGGTGCAAACGCTTAGCTACCGCACTAAGAGACTAATTTAACTAGGTTAGCACAGGTTTTTCAAAAGGCTTCAGTGTCGTTCAGTCGTGACAAATTTGAAGAGACTCCTTCATGAAAACAAACGGGGGTTGGTGAATAGGAAATCATGTTATAGATGATCACTAAGCTGCATCCACTTTATTCGGTAGTAGGATAGTCTGAGACAGCTTTCACATACTTCTCGGACAGGAAGAGATTAAAGCGGTTGCAAGATGATATTAGTGTGCTCTACCGCATTTCACGAAAAGCCATGAACAGCGCAGTTAGTCAAACGTGCGATGGGACTACTTGATGGCACAACCACAAACTGTAACAGCGATTTTTCTGGCGGGCTAAAAAGCAGTCACGTCTCAGCCACCTGAAAGTGCGAATGTGGAGTGGGGAGACCAGAGGCGTTGGTTCGTATAACGGAATACCGATCGGAAAACGAGGTAGCGAGGATTGCCGTTAGTGGAAGCCCGCGACCATCCGAAGTTAATCAAACGCCGTAAGGAACACCAGAAAAATGGCACGTGAAAAACGAAAAACGCTGAAAAACCCTTAAGAGATAAGATGTAAGACCAGGGATAGTCCGAAATGTAAGACGTAAGATCCCATTCCGTAAAAACAGGTGGTCAGCACAATTCAGCTTCAAAAATAATCCTAGGACACAGCAAAATCAAGAATATACCGTTGCATGCCTCGGATCTTCTGACTCTACGGTAACTGTATATTTATCTCGTTCAGAGGTGACGGAAACGATTGGTTCGGGCATCAACAATGTAGCTTCAAACGCTATGGTGTACGAAGTGCTATTCCAAATGAATCCGTCGAACGATTCGAACTCTCTGTGTACGGTTGTATCTATATCCATGTAAGAGACGTATTACGATAATGCAGTAGACATACCAGCGGGAGCATAACGAGGATTGATCACTGAAGGAAGTGTAAATAATGCACGGGACGAATTGGTCCCGTCCGCACACGAGGCGTCCACAGCCAACTGTCCGACATACCTCACTGTGACAAAGACCGTTCCATTGACAGGGATATGTCCGATACTCATTCGGAAAATATCCTCACACTTTTCGTCCTGTTCCATAATGAAAGCAGTATGACCCTTGGCTTTAGCTTCCTCGTAGGTTGTCTTCGCCTATAGGATTAAAAGAACCGAAACGTTGTTCACCGCGTGAAAATAACGGAACGAAACAGTGAAACTTTCAGCCAGGGCTGAAAGAGCGGAGACCGAGTAAAAGAATGAAAATAGCAGACTTAATTGGGCACAGCAGTAGAAATGTAAGTTTACCGAATCAACAAGCCAATAACAAGCTAAAATAGAATAACAGGATAGAAGAACGGCGTACCTCAATTCCCAGGTATCATATTAGGACGGTCAACACCATCCGAAGAAGCCAAGACGCTTTTCCTAAACCCTACGACTGTACTTTACCTAAGATCATGCGAGTATCGCCTTAACACCATTTCACCTTGCAGTTCAATGGTTCATTAGACACAGATTGCACAATGTTCGCATAAAAGGAGGCTGGACTGAACAAAAGATAAAAAATTAGTTGCAGAAGTAATATGTGATCCGCAAAGTAATGCGCAGCACAGTCGGTTGGCCGCGGTTTTCTTCAGAAAGCAATTTGCTTCATTCATAGATCTTCGTCTTCTGCGTCGCCGAAAGGGGCTGGGTAAGACGCTGGGGCGAGATGGCCCAAGTGGTTAGAGTGCAAGTTTACTGACCAGGAGGTCCGTGGCTCGAACCCAACCGGTGCCTCTTGACTTTCCCTGTCTAGGCTTGGGCAACCTGGCAATATCCCAGCCCTCGTGCTTCCTTCAGGTTGCATGGCAACTAGGCATCCAAAAGGGTGCTACAGCTGAACGATTTTTTTACAATCATTATCAGGCAGGCACGCAACAAAAAAGCAAACCAGCGTCTCGATGTGTAAGCATCAATGCTGAGTCACCGTCTATGGCTGGTTAGTTAGATCACCATATGAATTTTTACCCAGGTATGTATGTGGTAGCTGAACTGCACGATGGGCAGAAAGCAAACCGTCCGGTTCTTCTACATGATTATCGCACAGATAGTTGTTCTTTCTTATCACTTTGGTGGAAGCAGCTACCACGCGGCTGTAGTGCCACAGTCAGCCACGAGAGTAAAGCACGCTGAGTCTGCTAAGGACAACAGTATTGTGACTGGCATGTGGAAGTCTGGGATAGAGTACGCCCCCTTACATATGCAGGCTATGCTCATACCAACTGAATGTGCGTCTGAACAACAAAATGAACCAGTTCGTACCATCGACTACATCTATCGGTAACAAAAAACTTGAACTGCGAAGGCATTAGCATTACCAGTCGAATCGACCGGCGACTATCTTCTAGATATACATACAAACAAAAGATTCGTGTATAATTTATCCTGAAAGGAAGGCATCAATGACAGTGCACTTTTTCATACCTTCTTACCATGTTACGCGTTGTCCACCTGTCTCTTTCAACACTGTTTTAATTCTGAATAGAGATACAAAATAGAGTCGTCTGAATGTGTGATGCTCAACACACTTCTTGAGAGTTTTACCTGTGATGTCGCCGACACCTATTTGCTAACAAGTTTCTTGAAATGCCAGCCTATGCCGTGAAGATAGAAGATACACGAAAAGCGGAGGATACGAAAAAATAAGGAATAAATTGCAGCTGGAAAGCAGCGTCCAGTCATAATTACAGGGTAGTAGACTGCGAATAACCTTCAAAAGCATCCCTCAAGAGGGCATAGGTTTCCTAAATTCATAGGGAACTCACCTCAGTCCGTGGTCGACATTCAGCAACAATCACCCTATCGTCTATCTTGGCTTCGAAGTTATAAACAGCAACATCGTTCATTGGAAAGACGAACTTCGCCTCAGCTGCGTGATCCAGTGTGTTGGTATACGTGAAAAGAGCCTCAACGTTCGATGACAAATTCGCTATGTCACACGAAATCTTCACATCCTTTAAAGGAATAGCTTCTCCGTATCGGTCCGTAATCAAACCACATTTCATGTAATCTATAAGCAATCGAAGGCTAAAAACACCATCGCAAGCACTTACTCATCATGATGCGAGAACCGCCCAATTGGTCAACCAGAAATAACTGTTTGGATTCAGGCAACTTCAGTCACAGGTCAAAGCTACAAATGGGTACAAAAGTGTGTTAGGTCGAGGAGTCTCTGACTTTCCTCACATCCAACCCGTCTTGATCCTGGTGACATAAGTATTCTCTATCGGACTGACTATACATTAAAACGGTTGCCCACTGAAAGAGCCATATTAAGGGGGCCTACCAATAAAAGCCCGACGTTTTCAGATCTTCCACGTTCCCTCGCCCATTTGGCCAACAGGTTTTGTCGTATACATGATCACTTACGTGGCGCAATTATGAACATCTATGTTAGGTGTGAGATATGTTATGTTATGTTACGTTATGTTATGTTATGTTATGTTATGTTATGTTATGTTATGTTATGTTATGTTATGTTATGTTATGTTATGTTATGTTATGTTATGTTATGTTATGTTATGTTATGTTATGTTATGTTATGTTATGTTATGTTATGTTATGTTATGTTATGTTATGTTATGTTATGTTATGTTATGTTATGTTATGTTATGTTATGTTATGTTATGTTATGTTATGTTATGTTATGTTATGTTATGTTATGTTATGTTATGTTATGTTATGTTATGTTATGTTATGTTATGTTATGTTATGTTATGTTATGTTATGTTATGTTATGTTATGTTATGTTATGTTATGTTATGTTATGTTATGTTATGTTATGTTATGTTATGTTATGTTATGTTATGTTATGTTATGTTATGTTATGTTATGTTATGTTATGTTATGTTATGTTATGTTATGTTATGTTATGTTATGTTATGTTATGTTATGTTATGTTATGTTATGTTATGTTATGTTATGTTATGTTATGTTATGTTATGTTATGTTATGTTATGTTATGTATGAAATAACCCCGGGCATACGTATGAGTAGAATCCTACGCAAGTCAACGAAGCGCAAAAGGACGGTATTTGCGGGCCAAACCCTGACTGACCTAGTTTTTGGACGAACCGAATGACACAAACTTTATTACATTCTTCTAATAATGCTGCGAGTGCCTACTGCGAACAACCGAATAACAAGACAATACGGGGTATCAACAGCCCAGTTATTCATGGTTAAGAATGATGCCAGATAAAAGCAGCCTATATTCAGACGGTTCATTGATCAGTTTAGAATGCCTTAGTGACTTCCGCTAGAAGTTCCACTTTTCACCCCCCTCCCTTCACATACTTCCACTCTACTACTCACGAGAGCTCGAGAAAGCTCGGACGCGAACTTAATGACCGCCAGGGTTTGCGCCAATACCAGAGTTCAAAGCAATGGACTCCGCAAAGATTTCCAGTGAAGGATCACTGTAACAATACGTAATCATTCAGTAGCTGCCATGCCACCAGAAGGAGGTCTGAGGGTTTGGATACTGTCAGGTTGCCCGAGTCTAGAAAGAGGAAGTCGAGAGCCAGAGGACCTTCTGATCATTAAATTCGCACTCTAACCACTTGAGCCATCTCACCCCTGAAAAGCATGGATTAGACAGAGTCAAAAGCCCGTGGGTATTCTTCCGATCATGGTTTTTGGTGAGCAGCTGGTCCCGTGAAACTTAAAGGCGATGCATGGTAGGTGGGAAC